ACGTTGAATAAAAGTTTTTTATCGCTTGTTACATGACCTGTTCACCAAAATTTGGGGTTACCTTTGAAAATCCCAAATTATGGTGACAGGTCATCTTTTTGTGGTGGTCAACGAGCGACGCTCGTGTAATTGTTGCGAGGAAACGGTGAAAATGGAGGCATATCATCAAAATTATTCCTGGATATAGTGAAGGAGGTGACCGCAGGAGTTGCTGTGCAGTGAATTATAGGTGATATCATGAACTTATGAGCGCTTGGTGATTATTAGTGCAGCGAATGTAGCGTATTCACCAATTTGCAGACGTCGTGAGCGTTTGGTGACCATTGGAGATCCGAAATTGGCTTGCTTGACGAGTTTAGTTTGAAATTTCGTTTGCAGAAACATTTGATTAACGCCCTTGCAAAAATTTTAATTTGAGTTTTAGTGGCGATTTCAGTTCGCGGTTTTTGCGACATTTTGATTGGCTTCAGCTCCTGACGAAAATGAAATTGTTCGATGTGGTAGTAAAGCATCTTGCTGATAATGAAATATCGAAGATGAAATGAAAACTGTAAAGCATTTGTGCAGTATTCATTCACCATGAAATGAGTGTTCCATCGATTGGTATAAAAATTGATTCAGGTTCAGTTAACCAAATTGTGAGTATATCAAATTATTTGAAAACTGTCACTGCGTTGATGTCATAAACAATGTGTATATAGCATTTCTGCAAACGTAAATGCCTCTGTTCCCTTGCTAAAATGTGAATCAGTACAAAAGTTTTATTAAAATATGATAGAACATGTGTGCATCTCTGCTTGGTACTCATGAAAACGTTTGATGAATATCATACATCTATCATGATCCATTATGCAACTCGACGATGAGAGAAATGAAAACATAGAAGACTGCAATCGCTTCATAGATTCTTAACACCAGCAGAAAGCTTAGGTAGTGTGATATATCAATTTTTATGTACAGCTACTCCCTCCAAACATAAAATAAGAGAATGATTGAGTTTTAAAATGAAATAGGAAACGCATAAAACAGCATGACTTCGTAAGCGACATTCATTTTCGGCATCAATTGCAACCGGATCACTCTCGTCATGCAACGAATTGTTCATACCATTGCTGCATTACTCCTGATCAGTGTAATATCGGCTGTTGCAGGAAGGCAATCAACAATGAGTTAGTTTATTATAACATCCAGATTCGATTGTGCTTACATTGCCTCATTCCTTTTCTCTCTTGAGGAGGGTAACTAACACCTTCAGATTTACTTTGCTGCAGATGCAGATCGTAATATCCTGAATTCTCTCTCAGTGTTGCCTATTCATACTGATCGTGAGTAGAACATCGAACCACTTCCATTAAAGAACTCGATGCTTGGTAACTTGCAAGATATTTCAATTTTCAGTAGAGATTCTAGATATCTAGATACTTCCAGTTCATTTTTTTCGATTAATTCTAGATATTTTCAACAGATACTTTGATATAAGATATTTTCAAAATTTTTCAATACTTCAATTTTCAATTTTTATCAGTCATATACACCATTCCATGATTGTGTTGGTTTCAATCCATAAAGTGATGAAACGGAAGCTATTCGCCTGTAGGTGAACTTTTGTGACAATGGAGCAGAAATATCCTATTCTACATCACACCCTTTATTAATTCCAAGCCATTCAACACACCCCGTATTATATTCATACCGATAAATTTCCCTCTTTAAAAGCGTGAATTTACGCAACTAAAGTTTCACTTTGTTCAGGATTTGAAAAGGAATTACATTCAATATCCCTTGCCATGCCTACGCTGCAGTCACAGTAGAGGGTAACAGAACTTTTTTAGATCTATGGATCTCTAATTTGATCGACGAAAATTTCAGCATGCTCAAGTATTTGCAAAGCTAGCAGTCGCGGTTGTTCTGGGAACCCTCTGGCAAGAAGTTCGTGCATGAAAGCGCTTGACGGATGCAGAGAATGTAGTGAGTTCGATGACTCTCTAGCTTGACGGCTTTTGAATATCTGCACATAATCAGAATTGCTCGTTCTTCCAGTTTGGTAATTATGACACTTCAGAGAAAAAACAGAAAATGAAATCTGAAGAACTACACGAGGAGCAATCATCTCAGGATGATGATAAGACACGTGAACAAAGTGTGCCACTGAAAGGTAGGAAATTCAATTGCAGTATCGAACTCGAGCCACTTAAAGCCGACAGTAGTCGTGATTGACAGCAGCCGTGGACGGTGACGCTTAGGAATTGCCATCAGACGGATAATGTCGAAGAATATTTGCATTTTTGAGGTAGATTGAGGCTGTGGATGCCTCGTCTGTAATATAAGAGATAATGTTTCGTGATAATTGCTTTGCGTACAAGAGCTGTAAGTGATGAAATGAGAAATGGCAAGCATGACTGAGGAGTATGACCATGAGCTTGGGCAGAAGCAATGGAATGCGTTGGATGTGAGGGGACTGGATCGAGACTACTTCGAGCTTGAGTCGCTGAACAGTAGCGAAGTGAAAACAAAATGAATGAGCATGTATAAAATCAGACTTTGAGTTCTGAGCACTTCATCGTTCAGCCGCAATTAGTCGAAATGAATTGAGTGATGGATTGAAAAATGAATCGAGTCACAGAAGGTTTCATGAGAAGACATGAGGATTCTGAACTGATCGAGATATTTGCTGTGAACAGGAAAGGGCAATAACAAAACACAGTGACAGCACCATGACCGTTCACCGACTCGGACTATTTTACGCAGTTTCCATACAATTTACAGCTCATACTAGCCAAAAACATCGCATCTTTTCAAAGCTGATGAATTTGATTAGTGAAGAATTAGTTACATCCTCCACACATACGATGCAATCATAAAAGGGCAAAAACAAGTCCTAATTCAGCATGAAGCACTGTTCGCCAACAATTTCAGCATGCCCGTCATACTGTGGACCTGCCCAAGCTTATTACATTACACACCCGAAGTTTCAAGCGTACTTTGCAGCGCTTGCGATGTGCAGTAACTGTGGTATGTTTGCCTCATTCTTTAGCCTCATTGAATTCAGTTGCTTTCTAGATTCAGGAATACTCGTTGATCCAATCTTGAATGAATCATGTCAGTGATAAAGCTAACTGACCAGTGTCTGAGCGACTGAATTTCGGGATGTGAATAAAATATACCGAAAAAATCAACAGCCACTGAAGTATTGTTACCTATCAGTCCTTCTGCCAGTCAGCCTGGTCATAAGTTTTAAGGGCGCTGAAATGGTCGAAGAGTTTCTCAGGTGCTCCTGTATCTGAAGCAGAGGAACGAAAAATTAACAAACATGAACGATTGAAAAGAATTGTTGTTGATGCTTATCGTTAATTATTATTCTCCGGTTTTTTCACTCACGATCGGAACAATTCGATGATTGTTTTTATGGTGTCCTTCTTTTCTGTCACTTTTTTGCCAATTTATTTCCATTCTCATCTTCAGATATTGTTGTAATAATCTATAATAAACGTTGCAAGGTTGTTTTTGCTGTTTTACAACACAAGGAATTCTCATTTCCTCAAAATCATGCTCCGAATCTAGAAGACGATTTTACACATGAAACGATTTTACACATCGAACATTCCTTTTTGATCTACTTGCAATGCAATTCTTGAAAATCATATATCAACACGCTCAGCTTCATTTAGCAATCTCGAAGTAATGTATACCATTCAAATGCAACATCAGTCATCAGTTCAACACATCTCGAAGTTTCCTAACATTAATATGGATGAGCAAATTGTGTGGAAAATTCATTAGTGTCAATATCATATATTGAATGGGACGTTCGTTACCAGAAAGATACGTTTGTAATGCTGCATATCAAAGCTGAAAAATCGATGCCTGAGATGGAGATTTTAAAGTGAAAGTGCAACATCATTTCTGCCCTGCAAAATGTCGTCTGTAACCACAAATTCATGCTATCACTAAACACAAAACACGTTGAGTTTGCTCAAAACCCAGTCAACCATGGTGTTCATCTCGCTTTATGTCAATGTTCATCATCAAATCAGCACAAACGACCGATAGGATGGAATTTCTCGCATTGAATGCAGCGTGAATGGCTGGCTAAATTATTAATGATAGACGGATTTTGCAAGCAACAAACGTTTGATTCGTTCGATTCAACGTCACTATTGGTTGGAATGCAAATCGAATCAAATTCAAGTAACTAAGTTGTGAGTATATCAGATGATTTTAAAACTGTCATTGCGTTGATATTATCAACTATATGTATAGCATTTCTGCAAACGTAAACCCCTGTCCCAATAATATAATTCTAATAACGCAAATGCTTCTGTTCTGTTGTTAAAATGTAAATGAGAATTCATTTTCAAGATTTTGCAAATCAGTTTTGAGATGAACTGTGTGAGCAGTTGAATACTCTTAGATCTAATTACAATATCCACTTGAGGGTTGTTTGTTCGTGTCAAATTCGAATCCTTTCACTTATCCACAATCAGCATACTATCTGTTGGAAGGATTTTCATTAGCTGAGGACGCTTCCAGTTCTTTGTTTTCTTATCATGAGTTTCTTCTTGCATGAATTTGTAGCAGCAAAAGAATTGCTTGGTATCACACCAGTACCACTTATTTCTGTGCCTTCATTGGAGTCGTAAGGAGAATTTGATGCTGCTAAGCAACTGCTCATGCTGGTATAAGAAGCAGATAGCATTCAATGTTTTATTGAGGTTATCATTAGTCATGGATAATTTAAAATTTTCAGTGCGAACAAATCCGTATACATAAACAATTCAATAAACATTCGTAACATGTTAATCACAGACTAACATATACTTATTCATAATGTTGTAGATCGTTGCTGGATCAGTTGAGATCCTCGCTCGTCAAAAATTCATGCCTTCTGAAGGTCCTTCAAGTTTGGATAAGCTTTGTCTCGATCACTAAGAATCAAATCTTTCTGATCAGCGATTGGCCATTTGATCGCAGTTTGCTCATCGAACGGATTCACTCCAAATTCACTGGTCGGATCCCGTATATTTATAGGTTACATGCGCACCTTCTGGCGAGAGTGTCTGCAAATTTCTTCACGCTGTTATTGAAATATCAATCGCATGGCTGGAGTTGATGTGCAAGTACTTTGGGTCTTGGGACGGCAGCACACCATAAACTTGTCGCATCAACAGGGAGCAACCTCCAACCCATGATCGGGATTATTGTAAACGTTGCTGAGCCTATTGTGTTGTCACAGAGAACGGAAACCCTTGAATTGTCATTACATTTTTTGAGAGATACAAAAAACTCTGCACATTGCATCAGACCAATTTATCTTATGAACAAGGTGTGTAATCCATGACATGTAACAAGAAAAATATCTGAACTGAAAAGAGGCATCAGTAAAGAAATCAGACGTTGAGTCCCTTTTGAACACGGGATATTCGAAGATTTCCGAATGAAACTCACATAAAATCCATGCAAAAAGCCGTCTGGAATCCAAAAATTCATTTTCATTTTTCCATTCAACACAACACCGTGCAATTTGCCGAATGTCTTCGAGCTTGGTCGAATGTCAACGCCAACGTCGAATATCTCACCGCTCACCACAGATACCAGTTTGGCCATGCCAGGCTGCGAGTGAAGACCGCGTAGCACACCGAACTTCGAAAACGAATGATTGACCTGTTGCTTTCATATTAGCATCAGCATTGTCATGATTCTTTTGGAATTTTGTCGAGCGATTTTGCTTTCCTGAGGAGCTGTGGCCATTTACTTAGATCTATCTCAATTCGATAGCGCAGTCGCGCTTATTCATACAAATTGATCACTATAGAGCAATCGATACGTTCATATTAGCAATAGGCGGATTGCGATCTTCCAGCTAACTTCTTCGAGAGATCTAAGTAAATGGCTATAGCTCCTCAGGAAAGCAAAATCGCTCGACAAAATATATGTTACTCTGAATGAAGAGATCCAGCTGGATCGACTGATGCAAAAAAATTCATATGTTACTGGGTAAACTTGAGAAGACGGTAGCCTTGAAGGTGGTACCCGAGTTATTATTAATAAAATGCCTATATCTCCTCAACAGGGCTAAATTGGTTAGTAAAATTCTTACTATTAATATTCTGAATCTAGAGATTTTGCTGGATCGGACGGTGAAATGAAATTTGCATGTTTCCGGGCAAACCTGAGAAGACGGTTAGCTCGAAGATCGCAATCCGCCTATTGCTAATATGAACGTATTGTTTGCTCTATAGTGATCAATTTGTATGAATGAGCGCGACTGCGCTATCGAATTGAGATAGATCTAAGTAAATGGCTATAACTCCTCAGGAAAGCAAAATCACTCGACCAAATACATGTTTTCCTGAATGAAGAGATCCAGTTGGATCGACTGATGCAAAAAATTCATATGTTACCGGGCAAACTTGAGCTTACGGTAGCCTGGCAGGTGGCACCCGAGAGAGTATTAATAAAATGCCTTTATCTCCTCATCAGGGCCAAATTGGTCAGTAAAATTTGTAATATTCTGAATCTAGATGTTCTGCTTTTCATTTTAATAGATGAGTGGATGACCATTAAGTGATGGTTTTTCCTCTCGAATGTATGATCTTTCTGATATCTCAGAAAGGTTATACATTGATGGTCCTACACAATGGGAAAAATCGCGAAATTGGTTCAAGCTCAGCTTATTCGTTCCTTGAATTCATTATTTGTCGGGGGCCTTGCAACCGTAATTCCACACTGCTGATATACTAACAATCAACTGCGCAAATTAATACTGTCCCAGATCTTTTGTCATACGTTTGATCTAGCATTTGTTCCTTCAGCAGGTTTTTTTACTTATGCAGCAGTCGTTTTTCTTGATATCGTCGGATAGAACTGGCGGATGTTGTAGAACTTTGGATTGAAAATTATTGTTTTCATATTCATTCATGAGATGCTTAGACATGTTTTTGCTTTCAGCCATCTTTCAAGATTGCACTCGTGGAAATGGTGAGTTCTCGTTGTGGGTGGAGGAGTAAGGGGGGGNGGGGGGGGGGGGGGGGGGGGGGGGGGGGGGGGGGGACGGCAGTGACGCATGTCAGACCATCGAAGAGGGTAATGCAGTTCCAGAGTCTGAGAATTATTGCTGTATCGAGATTGTTTCTTCACAGATATGATATCAGCTAACTTTATTGTAATGCATCACCCATTAAAAACTATGCAAATAAGAATTCATGAACAAAAATCAATGAATCAAAATGAAATTTAAAAACTTCGATCATTGGTACTGGCAAAGTTCAACTACAAATGGAATCAGTCGTGTTCAAATATAGTCATTTTCGGCGTTTAATGAATACAGCTTCATCCATCCTCTTCCCGGTTTCCATTCTCTGCTGAATCTTTATCTATTTCTAGTATGAACTTATTCAATTTATGAGTTCAGTTTGTGGTTTTGTAATACATGAGACGGCGTTGATAACTATTGCAATAATGATCTCGCGCTAAACGAAATTACGATGAGAATCAAATTCATTCTCTCTTAAGACTGAAAATTCTATCAAAAGTCTGATTTCTTATTATATTTCTCGTTTTTTCGGACTAATGCGAATAACAAACTGATTCTTTGCCGTTGATTCAGTCACAAGAAAGCTCGTTGATCGAATCAGATCATTATCTAATATCCGAATCACAATAAAACAAATCAGATGGAATCGTCTTCATGATGATCGCCAATCTCTCAGATCTCAACCAAACCATTGTGACTGCGTGAGTGAGCGGGAATTGTCGTTTCTTCAAAGAATCCTTGCTGAACACCGCTTTTGCCGAGTTTATTCTCGATTGCGTTCACCGCATTATCGATATGCCGATTGAATTTCCCAGACAAATCTTCCTCATTATTATCTTTGTTGAAACCAACCGCATGCTCCATATTCAAGCCAACACGTTCACCGCTTTTGCTGTAAATAGATTCATTGCATGCGATTAGTCGATTCTACTGATAATATTAACGTAAGTGAACAGAGTTGAACAACACACAAATTACAAGAACTGTTCCTTTTTTCGGAGTTCAATAAAAATTCACGTGAACGATTATATGAAACAATCAAAAATTGTCTAGTTCTTCGGAGCCAATGAGCAGATTCTTCCCAAAAAACGAACCTATGTTGATAAGGATGTGCTTCGGGATGTGTGCCAACCTCGATAACACCATTTTCTTCCGCTTCGCTGTGATGGCTTCCACCAAGAATATGAGGCGATAGAATCTGGTGTTTCAGGCTCATTAAATCACTCATCAAACGATCTTGAAGGCGATCAGAACTGTTACACTGGATGTACTTGTGAATGTTTCGTTTTATCAATCACTTACGTTATTCTATTTATCACTTACGTTATTCTATTGCATCACTTAAATTTCTTGCCGTGCTAATCGAAATCAACCAAAAACTCTTTAATGTGACTGAAATCATTTCCTTACCTCAACAAGCATGTGTTCCTCACTCCATAATCGAGGTGAGAGTATTTGAGGACTTAGAACAATAACACCAAGAGCTTCATCTGAATAAATACGCGGTTCTATGATGCCTGAAAACAGGTATTACTTTCACAAAATTTTTCAAAAAATTTTCGCTCTGCCAATGATAAAAATTGTTTTTTTAAAGTAAAATGATGCCTCTGGAATGTTCCTCAGTCAAATTGATCTGTTTCGTTATGATTAAACATTATATTTGATGGTTTTGTTCATGCAGTGAATATTCGGAATCAGTGACAATACCAGGACTGAGCACTTCGATGACCAATACCTCAGGACTGAGAACGCGAGGCTCGATCATACGTGGTGTCAATACTTGTGCAATTAACGCTTCTGGTGATAGAATTTGCGCGGCAAGCGCTCGAGGCGAGAGAACCTATAATGAGAGGTTTTCTTCGCAGAATTCGTCTGCAGCAGTTCAACAAATCATCACTCTCAGCAGTGACCAGTCATTTATTGGAGTGGTCGGTCGTTTCGTAGGTATTTCATCGTGCATATTACATTGAAATTAGTGATAATCTTGCCATATAAGGCTTTCCGAATGACACAACAAAAAATGAGTAACCTCTGCAACGAAGGCGGCTGGTGAAATAATTCGACCAATCAACGCTTCAGGACTGAGTATTGAGGCAACGAAGGAACGCGGTGACAGAGTATATAACTGAAATGATTGTAGGGTAGTATCTGATGAATTTTATCACTGGCACAGTCGATGATAAACCGCTTTTGATGTCATTTTAAAGCCAGACTTCAAAAACACGTGATCGAAGGTTGTATTGTGGAAACGATGAATTCTCATGTAGCAGTTAATTGAACGAAGAGCGGAACTGCCCAAAAGATATCACATTCAACGAACGGATTATAGTCAGACCATAACAGTTATATCTGATATGGTCTCAAGCACTTCTTCTAGCTGCTCGCTTTACTTATATCAGTGTTTCACAGCTCAAGAACTTTCAAGAGAACAAATTTGAGAAAGAGTAAGATGAATCGCCGTAATCGCATCTAAACCAACTGCAGAATATTACAGAAAATATTATGTTACAGCTAAAGATTAAGAAGTATCTCAACAAAACTTACGGTGATACTCTCCGGAAAAAGAACCTCCAAAACGAATGCATGTGGTGAAAGTGTGACCGCCTCAAGCGCAAGTCCGTGGCCGATGCTATTCGTAAAAGCGTACGGCGCTAACGTATGAAATGGTCCTTCGTCTCCCTGAATATGCTATGAATTATGATCCAGACTCCATCAATGTGCTCCATCAATTCAAACAGCTTATTGCAGTCTATTTCATTTCATTCCTTAAGATAGTTTTCGCTCATCCGTTTGTTAAAATCGTTTGAGAGAACCATTTGCGTAGTTCTTTGCGAAAATTTTCTCATTATCAGAATGTAATAATTGGAACATCCATTGTGTTCCGTAATCAGCGTTGTTTTGTTTTCCAGAAAGAAAGGTACCTGCAAAATTGTTCCAATGCAGTTCTTTCAAATTGGATTTCGTTCCATACTCAAACTCATTTTTGCAAATAATTTTGATAAGTTCACGGCTGATGCACTGATATTGCAAAACAGTCTGTTGCTATTCATCATGACCTCTATCCACAGATCAAATAGAGGATGTTTTGCATAAAGTGAAGGGAAACGTGCTTCATAGTGGCCACCAGTGGTAAGGCGGCCTATTCCAGGAGTACCGGTGTCTTTCGATTCATTGCCATTCGATGACTGTCGTTTGAAACGACCATCGCTTGCACTCGACAAACCACGATTCGTCGACAGCTTTGCCAATTCTCGAATACTTTCCTCCATCCGTCGTTCACGTTCCTCCTTACTCATATGCTCATATTCGCTTAAATTCATATGGCTGAGTCCGCGTAGAACTAAAAACTGTAACTTTGTTAGTTAAATTGCACATTTTTGAGGAATTTCGAAGAAGTTTTATTTTGCTGAGTTATTGCGAGACGGTAGGATTATTTCGGGATATTTCACAATTCTAAGGGAAATGAAGATCACAAGAGTCTGAGATCCATCTGATAATATTTCTTTCACCTCCAATTGGTTTGTCGTATATGAGTTTGAGCTGGTCCGGTTCCAGATGCGTATAACCATGCTTGATGAGATCTGCTTTTTGTGAATCTTAAAATGGATGCGTTCATATTTCATAACAAGTTGTTGTGCACGCGAATCCATTACAGATAATTATGGGTGAAGCAACAGAGAGCAATATTAGAATGCTTTTTTGGCTCAAACTCGACTCCTGGAGAAACTTCGCTGGATACATACGACAGCTCGATGGAAAATTTCTCAGTGATTATCTGTGATTTCACACTCCTTGCATTGGATTCAATTCAATTACGATTTAGCGGAGGAATTACAAAATGAGAGTTCTACACAGGAATTACAAAAAAAAGAAATGAGATTATGAGATAATTACAAAAAAGAGACAATGATAGTAAGGCACATACCTGTATAACTATCGGCAACAATTTGCCAGTTCCGTTCCTGTCGTTGAAATTGTTCGATTGTAGGCAGTTGAACGTTAGTAATTTGTTCGTATTCAGGTTTTATTGACTCAATTAATTTATTCAAAGTGGCTGATGCACCGCTCAATTCCATTGCGAGATCAACCAACATCATCGCATCACTTCTCTTGCTTGTTGCCATCTAAAAGAGTTCCGGTAGGCAGATCGAAACAAAATCCAAATTTCATTATTATTCATGAGATAACTACATTGTGAACGCATCCTTTCAGCATAGTGAACGACCGTTCTTCGAGCGATCAATTGTTCCACAAACACAGATCAAATCTATCAGAATGTTCATTTGATCACTGAGAGAAGATCACGGAACGCGGGCTTTAGGCTATCTGACAAACTTTGACATGAGTACGATGAGCCTACGTTCAACAGATCTGGCATCGAGAAGAATCCTTCTTTTTGGAAACTGAACAACGTCGGCGAGAGAAGGTGCCGTCGTTTGTTGGTCTCGGGCAATATTGAGAAGAGTCTTGGCGACATCAACGAGAAAGACGAATCATCGTTGCTCGTTCTCTAAAAATAAACATTGAAAGCTCGTTCTATAAGGACCAGAGATGGTCAACAGCTGCTATTCCGCCACTACGAAATAGCTATTTGGCTGACTTTCGCTAACTAGCGAAGTAATTATTCCACTATTTCGCTGACTTTCGCTAGTTAACGAAAGCGTGCTGCTGCTCACTTCTGCGTGAAGCAATGCCGATCATTTTCATGCACTCCCCAATAACACGCACATATATCCATGTAACAGATGAAATTTTCTACTGTCAAATACTGCTTCTATTTATTGATTCTTGTAGCATTCAACTAAAATTAGATCAAAAATGAGAAGCTCTAAAAGAGCCATATTTCTGAGGCAATTCGTACGAAATGCAGTTTAAACGGGGCTTTTAACAATTCCGAGAAATTGCCATCAGTTCTCAATTTAAGTCAGTGCTGAATAATTTGTCTCAAGAGAAGCTCAGTCTCGCTAAATAGGGAATAATGTCGCTTAAAACTGGAAAAGAAAAACGTGGGCACCTGAAATGAATTCACCAAATTAACGATATCAGCAATCAGTTTCTTCTGCTCAGGATTCTCTCTCCTTTCCAAACGGTTCTCCATTGGTACGTTGAGATCACGTAAAAATCTGCAACGTTTTGTGCTCAACCAAATGTGATATTCACCAAGTTGAATTGGATGCAATCAGAAAATTTGATGAAAGAGAGGCGCTAAGGCAGAAAGGTCCTCAAATGACCGTCTGAAAGGAACTTAAGCAATGATAAGTTTCAGATCACTCCATCAGATTCACATTATTCATTTTTGTGCAAAATGCTTCAGCAGAATACTTTGAATTTTTATGATTTATTTTCCTCAAGTATGCGTCCACTTTATCAATATTATCGTAATGCTTGCGAATAAGTCGTAGTTTTTCGATGTTATTCGATTCCGCTGAACGATCACGTGATAATCCCTTTCCTGTAAATGTGAAATGATTGTGATTCCTGTTTTTCATTTTCCTAGTGGCGATGTTTCGATTTCAATCAAACTGTCCTATTTCTGTTCTACTTCAAGGAATAGAACAGCTGAAGGACGGAACAGAACATAATAGAACAGTTTGCCAGAAGTATGAAACAGAAACAGCACTCTTTCCTAGAAGTATGGAGCAGAAACAATACTATTCAAAATATGCGCATGTATTTCGAGATGAAGATGTCACAAGAACGCTCTACTGTTTGATCAAACCCAGTTTTGCTTCTGATCAAACATGAAATCGAAATGCACCGGACTACTGAAAGTTTGAGACATAATTAGGCAAATACTCAATGAGGAATTATTCAAAAACGTTTGATGAACTTCTGAGAAAGGTTTACCCAGAAATCGTCGCAGGTACTGTACTGCCATTTTTGAGAGATCGAACGCTGGTGTTGCACTCGAGGTCACTTGCCCTTAAAGATAATGAGATTGGTTTGCGGAAATCTCATCTCACTAAAATGCGTCCTATGTGATCATATTTAATGATCCAGTATATTAGGTATCAATGTATTTCAGGTATTATTTCAGTTGTTTAGTTCGAGAAATAAATTGGTTACTTCAGTTTGTTCATTGATTTACATTCGAAATGCGTGAATACTTTTGACGTTATTCTATTTATGAATATTTAAGTAGGTGAAAAATAGATTGACATGAAATTCGATCGCACCTTTCTTCAAACTATCACTCTGAACAGGCAGCGATTGTCTTTTACGTCGTTTCCGATACAACAAACCTTTCCTCATTTCCTCGATCAGTTTGAGCCTCTTCTTTAGGCTTTCACTTATCATCGTGAATTGTTCCACTTCCACCCGATGTGAGCGAACGTTCTTGGAATTCTTTGCAGCCAATCCATACACCGTCTTGCCATTTGATTTCCACTTTTTCATCGGTTCATTCGTATATTTTTTTGATAGTTCAGCAAATTTATTGCTCACTTCCGTTTTATTTCCGTTGTTCATTTTAAGCAGATACTCCTTAGGGTAATAAGCAACAGCTCTATTGATACTATTGGCTTGCTCATAGTAATTGTTGCTTTTGACATCATTACCAGCAATATGTTGCGGATTATTATCATAATTGCTGTGTTCATTACTATGAACATTATTTTCATATGGAATGTTTTCGTTGTTGTAATCAATCAATCTACTATCATCATCGCGATAATCGTTATCATTATCGTTATCACTGAAGCTATTTTGTTGTCCTTCATAGCTGTCAATGTCGTGAGATCCCTCTTTCCATTTCCACGTCGTGCCATATTTCCGATTCATTAAGAATGTTCGATGTTGAGGACGAATTTTTGGCAGTTTCGCCAAAACGGCACCGCTAAGCCCTAGTTTATCGCCAGTCTGATCGATCTGATCACTGCGGGATCGATCTTGACTGAATAATCTGCTTTGAGAACGATGAGGCAACTTCTCAAGAAAAAGATCTTCATTGGCCGGTATCGCTCGATTCTTAGTGGAAAACAACGATTGCTTGGTTTGGTTTCTTAAGTGATTATCACTGAGATCATTCTGAGGGTAATCTGAATTCACGGAATTATTTTGTTGTTCTGAATCGAACTCTGAATCATTTGCATTCGTTTCGTATTGAATCGAATTTGGACTGAGAGTTTTTCGAGGAGATTCGGATGCCATTTGATGTTGTTGAGTTGGGACATTTTGATTGGGTTCACTCGTTTCGCGAATTTTGAACGAGATTTTCCCAACATTGGAAACTTTTTGATCGTTTCGATCAATTGGAACTCTAATTTTTGGTTCCGCTTGACCAGTGGACGTTGAAGTGGGAGAATCGGAATCGATCGCAGTTAACAAATTGGCAATTCCGAAGAATTCCTCAAGTTTTGTGAGCAATGCTCGAAATTCTTTATTCAGATAATCATACGCAGAGAATTTCGAGAATAGTTGCGAGTTTGTTAGGAATTCGCCATCTGAAAATTAATAGTTTCACTGACTTTTTCAATAGTTTCTGCTGGAATAAAGATTTATTCTTCAAATGAACATCATACAACTAATTCCTAGCCGATAAACTTGTAGCTTGACTCAAATGATTATTGCTATTACCTTCACCATCTCAAACGCGCTAGCCCTTAAAACTCTACAATGTGAGTAAAAGCGTCTAAGTTCAGTCTAAGTTCATCCACATGATTTTGGTCTAGACTTACTTGTAAGCTCATGCTTAGAGTCAGGCCCACATTTAGGCATACTAGTTTACGGTTAGAATTGGGCTTACAAATGATCAAAATTCTTTTTTTTTCGTTTGTGTTACCTTATAATTTCCACCCTGATTGAAAAGTATTGCTGTGATCAAGTATAATAGATGATACCTTTCTTGGATACTGCATTGCTTTCTTCGTTTCTAATTTTCTCACGTTGTTTTGCATCAAGCAGTATTACAACACAGTTCGCTAAGTCGGCGACCGATTTCGAATCTTTCGCACATAAACCATAAATTATGCATTCGTTTTCTGGTACTAATTCGCATAAACTTTTTGCTTTCGCCTGAAAATTGAAGCGAAAATTTTTTTGCAACAGATCGATCTGTCCCGATAAGACTGTTCAGACATAACGATCAGCCGTGAAATTCTGACATAAATGGAATTTCAACTGAAGTTCTGGAAATCAGTCTGCAAAATTTAACGTCCTTCGGTTCACGGGGACCTATTTTTTGTATGTTCTGAATGAATATTGCAGTTTTCTTGATCACGAGAGGTTTAACGAACCTTCAGCAGCGCACGCATCATACCAACGTGCCAAACGTCACGCAGTTTATCGAAATTCAACTCGTAATAGCGTTTCTTCAGATTGCTCCGATCCATTCCTGAATCACTTCAGAGTGACGCATGCCTAGTATCACTGACGGTATGCAGTAATTGCACAAGGTTATTTCATAGTCCAGAGACTGACCGCTACTCAAATATAGTTGTAATGACTATTGCTATTATCTTCCAAACGCGATTCCTAAGCTGTTCAATGATCAGAAACCTTTGCATAGAAATGATCGAGTAACGGTTAATTCTCATTGATTGATTTGTCACGATTGAATCGAGAAGTGAATCGATCACCTAACGATGATTTCCATCTACTGGCTGGACGAATAAGTCACTGCGTTTCATAATGGGGTTGTATCGTTCATTATAAGTTTACTCCTCAACCCAATGGATATAAATAACAGTCATGAAATTTTCGTATATTCTCGTCCAACTTTGTTCCCGTATTCGCTCGTTAACTTCACTATGAAATTCTCCTCTAAATCATATCTCCAAACTAGTAGCTACAACATTTACATCTAATTGTAAGCAACATGAAATATGGTATGTGCACAGATCCTGGGAAAACATCAGGGATTCGAGAGAACTGATGCGTTAAGAATCGAAATGAAGACGAGAATTTGAAAGGACAAACCCTGATCGTTAGTGATCTGCGCTCCAACATTACCACACGATCGCAGTAATATTGACATGATCGAAATACCACAAAGCAATGCCTTTACCAGAGTCATCACAACACATCTGAATTATAAATGCTTCTCTTCAAATACCAGTTATATCCTATCCATTCATCTGAAGTCATCATGAGTCATCCATAGAAAAGCAATGTAGCATGAGCATTTGCCAGTTCATATTGCACTAACGCTAGTTTTTTATGGTGATTTTCACATTGTTAATAATAATAACAGTCATAATGACTTCCTCTAAGACCCTCATAGTTGCATTCCTTGAAAATGTCTGATACTGAGTGCCTTGAAGTTGATTATTAATATTGTTATTGTAATCATTATTATTACTAATAGCCATGCTCACACTATTCGAACAGTTCTTTGCAAGTCGCTTCTCCTTCTAGAATGTATCATACGCACACGGCTAGGAATGGAACGTAATAGACTCTTCGTATCTTCATCAAGAGAGAAGGAACCGAAATGCAAAATTGCACTTCGCAATCGTTCTTCTGCAATGAAGTAAAGGTACCGAAAGGATTCTTATGAAGGAAGTTTCTCAAATTGAATGATATTAATGATGGAATGTCGAATAGAAATGTGAATAAAATTCATTGGATATGAAGTATGTGATATAATGTCGAAGTTGAATATTCAAGATCGCTTTTCATACAATGATGTATAATTTATCAGCAGCGAAGTATCATTTCGCTAACACAATTCTTTATCGTGTGAAATTTGCATGAGGAGGAGTTCTGATTAAAAAATTCGAATGTGTAAGTGATCGATAATGTAATGATTTAACATAGGAGATCATCAGTAACCAGAGATCGAATTGAATAAACGAGAGAACTGGACAAAAAATGCGATAAAATAACAGGTGAATTTCTCATAGCAACATTTCGAATTCGAGTTGTCGTTGAGGTTCGAAAGCATCAGACAATTCTGAGGGCAGCAAGTTGAACGTCCACTCAGATCATTTACACTCACTTGGAAACGTTCAAAAACGGTTCATCTGCGAGATGGAATCTTTATTTGATTCCACTCGAGTATACAACAGCAAAATCAATGATGGCACAGTGTTTGAAATGAAATTGTTGCTGTGAACTGCAACTGACCCGAAATAAAGACTATGTGAAGCCGATCAGAAGTGCAATATATTTACGTGTTCACGAGATGCTCTCGCTTTAAATAGCCATAATAAAATCTCTATTGCAAATGAGTCTGATCGGTTGCTGTACGTAACCCATTTCGTTAAGCCGACATCAAAAAACATCAACACCACACAATCAACGGTATCATCACGTTCCACTTTGCAACTTCATTATGTAACAATCGCTAGTAATTAAACACTTCAACGCACCAATATTCGGTATTGTTATGAGTTTTGCTGGTTTTGTCACTTTTATGATTACTTTTATTACCATTCCTATTATCATTAGAACTACTAGTGCTTAAACAGTGTCATTTCTATCATCATCAGCACCATTATTGATACACCTCATGAACCGTCCGATTCATTCATATGCGGTACTACGTAACTGTTGCTGCAAAAAACGCTTGTTACTATCAACCATAGATTCTACACTCAATGAAGTCCAAATCTTGGATCACACGGTGGGCTAGAGTGGGTCATCGAACAAGTTTTAAGAAATCAACGGTCATAGCAGTTCGACAGTTTGCTGAAATTTGATACTTATTCAGTCGCATCGCATCTGAAATGCTGGAACAGGATTGCGTTGTGAATTGTGTACTCATAAGCATACGCGCTACTTACATTTAACAACAAATATTATATCATTTGGTGCTATGATATTACTCTTTACTATGAACTCGACAATGTACCCAAACGCTGATAACCACAACCAATTAGCATGAGATTTTGAGAAAGTAGAAGAGTATTCACCATTCGGTCAAAAGACGTTTTAAGTCATAATTGCGTCTCAATGAAGGGATTTGAACTGAAATTTGAAAATGTATCAATTAAACGAACTGATCAAGATTTTTTAAGATTTATCAATCCATTAAAAAATTTTTTTGAACACAGCAAAGAATTCCGTATTCACAAAAATCAGCAAATCGAATGAATGCTTCTTTTTGCATTGTTTATCCAAAATACAAATGTGTGTCATTTAGAGTATTATAACAGTTTTATTGATGTCGTGCTTACCCAAATTTCCGTTCAAACGCTTAGAAGATTAAAATAAGCATCGTTTCGATCGGATATCATCAAGGTTACCCTCATATGTGGATTAAGGCTCATTACGCACTACTCTTTGAGCGATCCCTTCCATTTATACATTTGTTGGTGTTACGCAAAAATGACCTGTTTAGCATCAGAGCAAACAACTGTGAGTATGATAAATGTTACGCATAAATTTTAGTGCTATTTATCTCATCCCAAACGTACAACGCTCTCATTCTCATCCTTGCAGATCAATGCTCTCAATGAAACTCTTCCGCTTCTTCACCTTGTAATTCATGATGAACCTGGCTCAGCACTCTACTCAGATTAACGATTATGTCTGAACTTTGAAGAAAGTTACACCAATACGTAGTTCACATTCATAGCACTGCTAGAACTCTTATAGATCTCAATTCCACCATTGCGCCGTAAAATTACCCTTACCTTGCTGTCGAGAATTTCCTTTTCGTTTGGGAACAACCTCTGAGGTGATGAGAGATTAGCGTACTTGTAAGCACAAACTATTCTCACCTCATGTTGTTGTTCAGTGACATTGCCTGAAAGAGGAGTCAGCCAACGGCAAGAATGCTTCACTCGGAGGGCGAAGGAGTTCCGGATAGGAAGGAAGGTTCTCGTAGAAGAAATGAGGTGTCCGGAGAATCAGATCAGGATCGGTCGGCTGCTCAAACAAGGGTAGAAAACTAGAAGTCAGCAGTCTGCTCTCGCAGTCGAGTTCCTGGAATTTTCCGGTTTCACTCGATTATGTTTCTCGCTCTTCCATCATCAACATTTCTATGGAGGAACGCATGTTTCGTAATCAACAGAACTATGATAATTTGCGATCATTTATTAAGACCACTCCTCAAAATCAATGCAAAAAACAATACAAACTAGTGTTGTGCGGGGAGTCCCCAAATTCGGGGTCCCCGTCCCCGACCGTTTTTGAGCGGCGGCCATTTTCGGGGACTCTCCCCGTCCCCGACCCATTTTGCTCTCCCCGCACAACACTAATACAAACAAACAAAAAGCACAAAAACACTTCGACAGCACTACATAATCACCATACTGAATACATCAACAATAATTCAAAACGTAGTATAACCATACCAAATTTGCACTTATCAAAACAATATCGTCAGAAATAAACGTAAATGAGGAGATAGCAAAACGATCACTCATCGAAACAACCTGATGGACGTTTGCAATTTAATAAAAAAGATTCCCATCGCTTTTGTCATTGTGAGCTGTTTCAACTTTATCCAGGGTCTTCTTCACCTTCCCATTAATGATGACAGAATACGATTCTCATTTGAGACATATCAATGCATCAAATCGACTCAATATCTAAACTACTATCCAGCTAACATTCGAAATAGCCTGCGAATTATGAGCGTCTCAGTTCTAAAGGAAATTACTGAAATAAACATGTAAGAATTCGGTATAATTTATTAACTGATGCTTAGTAATCAAGCCAGTTGTTCAAGAAATCCTTGATGGTATCTGTGTTCCATTTTTCGATATTCAACGTTTGATGTGTTTCACCGAAGCGATCCTTCAGCTTTATTGTGGGTAATGTTCCGCGTACGTGACGCACTTTCACGTGATTACCCCACTGCCTCACCATATCCGACTTTACAAACGCTGCAATCATAGCGTTTTAATCCTATCAAATTTATCATCAACAACACAAACCAACGAACTACTACGAGAATTGTCTCATGAAACGTTCAATCACTTCAATTAGCAGAGTTAGCACTCTGCTAATTCCTTCTATTCTAACTTCAAAAAGAGAAACAAGCACCCCAAAACTCACCTTGAACTTGTGGAAAACGCGCCAAATTGCACTCACATATCTCAATATGTGCTACAGGATATTTCTGAAATGACTTTCAATAAAACGAATTCCAGATCATGTAATAACATTTATGAAACGGGTAATCATTACACATACGAAAGTTCAAAAGTCCAAAATATCGCATACAAAAAATTTGTCTTCGAACAAAAAAACCCAACTTAACCAATTTTATTGCAAAAAGTATTGACCAACAGCATGGAAAAATATAAGGTCAACTTTTGCAACTACAATGGCAAATAATTCCATTCGAATTGTATATTAGTCATTCAATCGCATTCAACTCGCTCAATGACCAATCGCTATTATAATGTGATGAGAAGCAAACAAACAAAAACAATGACCTCATGCTGAACTTCATCTTCATCTGGCGTACAACACTCATTACAACCGTCAACTAGGCGATCCAAATGGAAATGCGGCAATTCAGAACAAGACGAACACTGCAACGTGTCACTATTGAAACCAGCATCGTGACATCGCGCTGCACTTTCATTTTTCTCACATTTTACTCCAAACGACAGCTGGAAATTTGAATTGATAAGTTAACTGATAAAATCAGCAATCAAAACATCACCATCATTTTGTTCTGAGAGCATAAAATCTCGATATCTCAATATGTTTTCATCGTCTCCAGATTGAACTTTTCGTTTGCATGTTAAAATTTCCACGATAAATTCATTGGCTAGAAGTAAAAACGACGGGGAATGAATGGAAAAGTTACTGGAAAATGTCAAAGTGGATATTTTCAAGATTATCAACCTCGGAATTCATAATCAAACAAGAAATTCGCAATAAAACTTACGAAAATAACAAGAAAAGTGAATTGAATGGATTGTAAATTCATTGCAGATTATATTTCGCTATGATATTATGCACACTCACTCCTGTAAAATTAATGATGACGTTTCACATGCGATTGACATTATTCGCTATATGATTCCAAAAAGATCATTTGGTTCAATGAGACAGCGAGAGCGAAATCATTTCAGTATTCATTGCATTTGTGGCTTTATGAGACGAATATGAACACACCTTCAGGCAAATGAACACTAGCATGAACATGCATCACGTTCCAAGAAAGCAATGCAAACAAATCTTCAAAGTGACACATGGATGAAAAGTGGAAGAAGTGAAACAATCACGACCTCCCTCCCGAAGATACTTCATGCATGCAATACTCTTTAATGTTATCTCTCAGAACACTTCGAATTATGCTTTCATACTTACGATTAGTCACGAATGCTCGACAGAGACAGATATTCAAATAATCGAAGAGTTGCATTGAAAGAAACTTTTTAATATTATCAGTAATCACATTTCACCATCATGAATCCAACAAAAGCTGCATTTTAAGCAGTAATCGCATAATACCAAAGTATCCTGAATGCGATGCTACGCAATCAGTATTTCAATAAATTCATAATGTTCAGTACAAAATAAGGTACTTTATCGGCAATCGATTGACATTTCTAATGGCAATGTCACCAACTGTATTGGATAATGGTAACAACAACAAATAACAACAATGATTGTGAGAATTCCGACAACGTTTACAATAAAGCGATATTATAATGAAAAACAAACTTCAATTCAAAAACAAAACAATCAGACGTCAAATACAAAAATGTTCACAAACACACTTCTCAAATAAAAAAGGATATTGAAAAGCAACAATTCATTTGAATGTAAGTACACATTTTGCGATAGTACATCAACATACGCAATTCTGCATTCGAAATCAACTTTGACTTTGCACTACAATGCAATTGATTAGCGGACAATAGAGATGTCAAGTTCGAGAAAACAAAATTCTCGACGAAACCCTTCGCGGTTTCAATCAGATGTCTCGCTGTTCAGTACCACAATACCACAGCTCAGTACCACAATCTTGTTCAGTCGTCATCGTCTCGTTTTCGAGCGCTCAGATTAACTCGACGCTTCTTGAATTCCACAGGTTTAATTTTGGCTCGTTTCCGCGTAATTGTAGCCGTTTTCTCGCTAAATTCCACGATATCTTCCGGCTTGATCGGCTCTTCGTTATTTAATTTTCGACCTTCTTCTTCAGTTGGCAATTGGTAATCACTGAAACGAAACGCATTCATCAGTGAGGAAGGCGGGCGATTGACGCAATAAACACAACATTATTTTGTTGATGTCAACCAAAATTTACTTTAAAGTTTTGGATTTCATTCAAATCGGAATACTAATAACTCCAAATGGAGAAAATTACAGTCTTTCTAAAAATCATCACAAAACTATCTGATATTATGATATAACAATAGCGCTTCTTATCAACGAAGGTTTCGCATTACAATTACTACTACCATTTTTTTTCTCTTGTTATTGCTACTCTGATCGCTATCGCAATACAACTGTCACTACAGTGTCGTTGCAAAACCAAAATCAAAACAAACAAACGAACACTTTTGGTGGATCCACAGGCTTTTCGACCTTCCTCCATTCACCATAGGGAGATGGTCGACTGACACGATGTGGTGGTGTTGATGTCCTATTCGCTTGGTGCTCAACACTGGCATCCTTAGTCAAATCCACTTCAGCGCCATGTTCTGGCTTTGGTTTTACAATCGCACATTCTGATGATTCCGCCTTCATCATTGTTACAGGACCTGACGCACTCTCTTCACTCGCACCCTTCGCATCGCCTTCACCGTTTTGTTCCATCTTTATCGTATCCATCAAACTTCTCTCATTATCGTAATCAACTGGTTCCATTCTAACATCTTTTTCATCCCCAGCGTTCTCCTGCAATTCGTTTTTTCTCCAATCATACACTTATCAGGTCCGCTAAATTGTCAACTGATTACGTTTTTTAAAGACGTCTTTAATCTTTTTTAATTCACACACTTCTTTCAAATTGCCCATTATTACAATATCAACTACATTTTCCACAAGAGGTACCATCGTTATCAAATATACATTGTACGATTGATTTTACTAAACCGAAAACATGTTATTTTCAAATAGAAATTAAGAGAAATTTGCTCGAGCTGATGGAATAAGTATTTATCAAGATAGGTATTCAATGAAATCCTGTCTAGAATGAAATACCTGAGGTGGTGGCGGCAACGGAATATCGTCGTGATCTTCTAGTCTGAATGCTGCGGCTGTTGCGATGGCCTGACCATTATCTTGTTCTACTGGTGCCGTTTTATAGGAACAGGTTGCGGCTGGTACGTAGGAGCCTGGTGGTGGAATATCTAAACGAACGGTTTATCGGGATCGGTCTTGCATCGAAATATTGGCTGCCGATAAAGAAATGTTCTTGATAAACATCTAACTTGACTTTATACTCAGTACCAAGATTATCCCGATTCGTCGACATCTTTCAGATCATCTGTGATACTTCTCGAAAAATATTCTCAAAGCCTGATGAATAACATAACCTGAACATGTGTAACGAATGTTATTTACCGGCGATATCAATTGGAACACTTCCACAAATTGCTTTAGTTTCGATGTCGTGATTCGAAGTACTTTTCGATTGTGTAGCTGGATGAAGATTCGCCCGGCGACTCGTTCGATTCTGCTTCATCTCATCACTTCCATCTTCCGCCTGACTGCGAATGTCCCACCTACGTCGAGGAGCTGGTGCTGCTGAGGCATCAATGACCGCTGGACTTGCTGCAGTCTGGTCACCACTCCCTTGCCCCACTCCAGCAAGACTCGGCCATTTGGATGCGTATTCTCTGGCCGTATAGAATTTCGATGGTGCTTCCCAAAGTGTTTCTGAAAACAAAAGGCAAATCTTATTCAAAAGTTCTACTGAGCATAGCCAACCAATCACTTTTCATCGATTTAACAAGAAGGTCATCTTCAACTTGGATCGTTTGACATAAAGCTTTCATCAAGCTATTGAACTACGACGAAATTAAGATGAACCTCCAGTATAAATTTGGAAATAATATGGCACTCCTTCATCTGTAGTCGTTTCGGCCCATACAATTTCTTCGTTATGCTCGGTTTTTTCAATGGATGGCTCTTTCTTGGGCAGCAGAACTTGCTCGTCTTCATCCTCGTCCTTCCAGTGTTGTGACTTTGTTGCCAAGTTTGCGACCTCTTCTTTCTATAAGCTATTCGTTTATCCAATGTTCACATGAGGAAATTTCATACTTTCACCTTGCAAAAGACGAAATTTTCATACGTTTCATATCAAATGAGAGGAATTTTCACAATCACCAAAACATTTCCAGAATGAACTCATCAGCAGACCTCTCGTTTCCGTCTTGCCATTTCTACAGCCATAGCAGCAACTGACGAACCATGAGCTCTTGGATCCATAAAGGTACGCGGTTTCAGTGCAGGACCAACTGGTGCACCTTGAAATAGACAGAGAACTAGCTCAAAGCCTACCGAACGCTCACTCTGATTCCACTAAGACTTCAAAATTTCAGAAATGCGAGTCAACTGAATCCATCAGATAAGCAAAGATTAGAAAAATGCTCAAAAGAAAAAGAAAACCTTACAAGGCAGATCCGTAGAATCTGAGGACATACTCTTTTTAGCAGCTGATTCCATGGCAGCCAAAGTTCTTTGCAGATCATTTTGCTGAAATTTTAATCAATCAACGAATCCAGAAACAACGTGATCTTATTTCTGCAATCAGTTTACTCGAAAACACATCAATGGTAATGAAACATGTATAGATTTCCAAAGACAAATTCATATCACGTAAAATGTTTCTATATGAAACAGATACGGAAACGCACTTGCTTCTCTTTCAGACTTCTCTGCCTACCGAGCTCGCGCAGTTTCGCCTGAATCGCATCCTTATGCCTCCGACCAGATTCATGATGCTCTATACTTACACGATTATCGGCGAACCACACCTGAAATAATTATTGACGTAATTCGCTTCAAGATGCTGGAATTCCTCATTCAGGTACTGACATATAACACCAATTAGTTCAGTTTAAAGATTAAACGTTGAAATGAACGATTGGTATTTGACGTGCACAATTATCTTACCTTACAAATTTCACAAAACTTCCGCGCGTTTGATTTCCATACATCAGTCATTTCAATATCTTTTCCTTCAAATCAACAAATCATCAGAATTGGGATGTAATTTATCGCTTTGGCAACATTCGTTCAACTCGATCGCTCACAGATATCAATCGAAAAACTTTATGAAATAAGAAGCAATGAAACCGAACATAACCAAAACAACTTAATGCAAAAATAGTTGGCTGATGCTCGCAGATAAATTGGACTGCTCAAAAGACGATGGCACTACTGAACACGTGGTTTACTGTTCAAAGACAAAGTACTTATTTTATTGAAGCAAAAAACATTCACACAAAATGGAAAAAAATTACAAATGAAGGTTCGGATGAAAACATGCAAAAAAAAAAGGAAAAAAAAAACTGAAAGGATCAATAAAAAATTATTCATAAGATGAGCAAATAACCAAACGACATTATGGAATATATCAAAACCAAAATATTCAAATTTTGAAAATCTGTCATGATGATAACACATAAATTCTTCCTTATCACATTTGAAGATGAAAGTTTCAAAAGATAGCGCGCAATATTCATACAATAAATAACCACAAGTTCATCAAAGAAATAACGAGTTTATTCATCCATGCAGTTTCCAAACAGTAAAACATATCCAAAGACCTCAGTCTACTTCTTGTCCGGAAATATAAACTTTCATTAAACCCAGAAGAGATCTTTTGGCAGAATCGATCAGACTTTTGAGCACAATAACTTTTCCGACGAGCTAACCCTGTGTATAATACAAACTTTTCATCAAGAAACCTTCCTCTCCTTCCGAAATACTGAAGTTTTGCGAAAATTTCAACATTCAACAAGTGATTTGGGATTTTTTCGAGCTATCATTCACCTAGACTGAGGTCTCATTTGGTTGAATTTAAAGAAGATCCCTTTGAGGAAAAAACCAAGCAAGAAAACATACACGGTTTTGAAAGCATTCATGAAGAACAGGCAGAAACATTTGAAAGAAGTGATTGACTTGAATAGTGAACCATATGCGCAGATCATAATTTGGATCGTTAACATACGTTATACGGTTAAACGCAAACAAACAATGCCATATTTTAGAAAACAGCCGTAATCGAGACTTAATCCTTAATCGGGCCTAATCCACGCACAATCCTTAATCCAACCTACCATCCTAAATGGTAGCTCATACAATTGACAGCTCAATTTCAGTCTTCCTCAATGATATAGAAACAAAGCAGAATTTAACAGTTACGCAATAAATTGTTTCATTGCAGACACAATAAACAAACGAATTATCGCAATATTGTTTCGTTGCTACAACAATTTTCACCGTTATAAAACATCATTGTACATATGCATATATCTCTGCTATCTTCCAATGCTCACAACGCGTCATACAAATCCGGATCAATCTGCTTTTCATCAGTTTCTAAGAATTTACTCAACGCTGTATCCTTGCCAATATCACTAAGCTCACGACGACGATGATGCTTTTTTTTCGTTGACAACGACGGCCCCTTTTCCTTCTTCTTCGATCGTTTCGGTTTCTCTTCACCGCTTGTCGTCACTTTTTTCTTCTTCTTTTTTCGTTTTTCTGACTGAAATTTCCAAAAAATCCCTAACACAATAGAGAAAGATGGCGCAATCCCTAACGGAATACAGACGAGAAATCCAATGTCTTGACAACAAAACAATGTATAAATATAAGACATTAGAAAAACAAATTCATCCAACTGCAAAAATTTTACTTGAAGGCGTTCCAACACATATCTAAAAGTGCCATGAGAATGGTGGAATCTTGTCAAAATTAGAAAACGAACGAAGACCCACCGTTTCCGACGGATTCGGCGAAGGTGTTGCAGTCGAAGAGTTGGCCTGCGTTCTGTGATCCACCGCTACTCTCAGAGAGTTTTTCATGTCCTTCTGCCGTTTCGTACTCACCACTGGTGTATTCTCATCATGTAGCTCAGCATCACTCTCCGAGTCCTCTTCAACGCCCATTCGAGATACCAACGGATTATGACGACTATCTTCATCATCATCGCTCAGGAGCGGCGCTAGAATTAATATTCTCAATTTTATTGCAACACTTCGAAACGTTCATTGTTGATGGATTTCCACAAAACTAAGCACTTCAAGATCAGCATATTCGCCACTCATATGATCGCGACAAGAAAACAACTAATTCAGTTTGGAGACGGCATATGTCAACAACAAAACTGCTTTCGGTCTACGCTCCAAAAAAGCAATCGCCTCTTTATCCTACCAAAAAACAAGCTAGTCTTTCATGACTTCGTTTAGAGACAAATGCCCACTGAAATTCCGAATGATGCTGACCATTATTCTTTTCACTGATGTTCGGTAGAGAATCTGAAGGTGATCCCAGCCATGCGTCTAAATCTTCAGCCGTAATTCCTGGTGAATCCAGTGTCACTGAATCAGGTTTTCTAACGGTATGTGTCGGCGAGTTATACGAACTACTGGTTAATGATGAACAACCACCAGCGATATGACTTCCCATGTGCTCATGATCTCCACTTGGCGTACTTCTTGACGAGTCACCACTCAGTGGGACTTTGTAGGCTGCAAAGAAGATATTGCCATTTTCGTCAAATATACCAATCCCCGAAGACATTATAAAAGTCCATAAGCAAAATACCAGCTAAAATGCATCTCACTAAAAAAGAACAATTTCCTCAGACACGCGATTTATATCGCTTACCCATTGGAGTATCGAGTTCCTTGTGTGAATTGCCCATATTGCGATCTCGAGCAATTGTTTTGCAATGGGCACCTGAACCAGTTCCAATGGTCTCTTGGAACTGTTTCTGGAATGAACTCATCGATGCTGCTAGCGCTTCGTCATCTGATGAGAAGTCCTCCTCGTAGGTGGCGACCATCGCGTTTGCTGCATTTCTGAACTCTTCAAAATTTACTCGAAGCGGCTGCCGAAAACATCCTCACTTTACTGAAGCCATTACGAAACAAAGAAACGCTTGATGCGGTTCATGAACTCACTCGTCATCGCTGTTAGTCGAACGTCGCGCTCTTAATGGCAAATTGTTGGGTCTTTGTTTCAAATCTTTCGAATTATTCGCATCTGTCAAAAATCGGTCCATCGTTTTCCGCAGTTGCTCATCACCAACTGTACCGTTCGTAACAGATATTGTATCCCGTTCAACACCTCCTTTTGATCCTGTTCAACAAGAACAATTCTGATATAAGATATCGCATATGAGCATGTTGTGCATTTGACTGAGTAATTGGGCAGAGCGATCAAATTGCAAATCCATTCAGTATTCAGTAGTTTTCGATTGGATTGGAAGTAATTTTTGATGGAATAATTCCATATCGGAATAACTCAACCGCTTCCACCTACTACCATCCTTAATTCTTCCAACTGTAACCGTTTCTGGCATCAGTGAGATATTGCAAGAATTTTACTCGGTACGGGCAAATTGGGTTGTGATGAAGTAGACTTTAGGGTGGCAGCATCAACTTTGCAATTGGTCGGTGAAGATTTCGACGACATGGCCAGAGGAACGGGAATCGGCTGGCCGCCGCCCATTGGTGAAAACCGGCTTGGAGTGGCACCACCAGTTCCTGCGCCACTTGGCAAAGGCGCCATCTGCTCGGCAGCAGCTCGACGACGCATCGACAAGCCTTCGATGAATCTTCAAACACATTTTTCATATCATCAAAATCATCGAAACCTCATTCAAAGCTACCACACGTAACATGAGAGGAATCAGATTCTGCAGTGAGAAATGCACTGAATCGATCATCCGAAACATATGACATGAATTTCGAATGCACAAATCCAGAAACTATCTCACATTTTTACGTACACGTATTCTACTGAAATTCGCTCTGAACAATCGGATATTTTCAACCGGTATGCAACTGATCACATGATGCAGTGGGTAATTGCGTCAAAAACCTGCCTGGCTAACATCTTTACAAACCAGTCCTTATACAGAGATGAGAAAGAGCTTACGTATCGTAATCAGCATCTTGTGTCTCTTCATACATATCCAGTTCATCGTAACTCAACTGAATCTCATATTTGTTTGTTTCCAGTTGTCCCAATAAAGTTTCACGCTGTAAGAAATGATTGCAATTATGCTCTTCTCATTGCGAATATCAATTCCAGGTATCATTTATGAGTATTCCTGCCAAACATTAAGATTGGAAATCGTCACTCTCGACCCCGCGTAAATCCTCACAACAAATTAATTTCACATAAACAGCAGTAGGACTGATAAATGTGCTTGTTCTTCATTCAAAAGCGTCGGTGTAAAATTTTCTTGATATTCTCTATTCAAGCAGAAGGTTTGAAATTCTTCGCCAGATTCTTCCATCTCAACAAATCTTATATATCTCCACTCAGATAAAAGTTAATGTATGTGCCATCCAAATTAAGTGTACGACGAATTTAATATGAATGTTGCGATATGTTGCTGAGCAGCGAACTCGAACCTGTAAGAACAGGAAGGGTATATTGAAGAAAAGGTACAGCATACGAAGACCGAAAGCATTACGCATCGAAGACTGCGTGAAGCGAACTTGCGCTGCCAGTGTGCCATTTGCGCATGGAGGCCTGGAATTCACCAGCCACATTTACTGCCGTCATTACCATCTTATTATCACTACTACTATCATCATAATTCCAATCATTATAGCAATATATTTTAAACAGTAACCAGTCATAAGCATCAGAGTAAAGTTAATTCATTCACACCCCCATACTTACAATCAGAAACGATCTGATCGTTAGCTGAATCATTCGATAAACACTATCATGAAATCTGAATCATATCCGTTTAGCAGTGATCTGCTGAGGCAGTGGATGTGATTCATTTCGTGTTCCACTCAGCATTACAGTCCATATGTGGTGCATCCATGCAAAATCAACAGTCGCCTGTTTCCCAACGGTCATTACTATGAGATTATTACCAATGTTATTATTACGATTAGCATCATTACCATTACCGTAAGATTATCATTACTATCATCGTGATAGTATGCAGTAGCCTCAATATGGCAATTAACAGGAGTGATAATATTATTCTTATCATTCTATAGATCAGATCACTCTGAATGTTCTCTCTTTTCCAAACATCCGAAGCAATCACCTCATGTGTTGAAGTACATCCAGTAAACATGACTAGTCGCAAATTATTCACCTCAGTAACACTTTGCTAACAAAGTGAATTGTAAGCAATCTACCACTGCATCGCCCTCAACAACCACTGATAACAAATGATCAACAATATCGATTATAATCTACATTCTGACAAAGAGAACGATCATAAACAAATGTTTGTTGTTAATAGAGGAGAAGCTCTACAGCTTTCGCTTAAAATATAATTGTTGCTTGAAGAATGACGCAAACTGACCATTCATTTTGGATTTCTTGTGTCAAAATCATTTTGCAATACATTAATTAGCCCAATTTCTTTAAAGGATGAGTTTAGTTGCAAGTGGACAATTGCAGTTGATGTGGCGATATTGTGCAATTTAAGAGTCATTGTAATCAAAACACACGCCTAGCAATATTCGGTTTTTCAATCATTTTCATAACACATAATGTAAACATATGAATTGCTTCGTTCAGTTTCGCTTCTCTTTTAATCACTTTGCAAATTTCAAATGTTAAATTCCCATTCACTATCTTAAAAAACATTCTGAAAGAATACACGTCAAACATTTTGTTTTTTATTTATAATTCACATGATTTCAACTTTTTGAATATTTACAATGAATTTATGATTGGCACGTATTCTAACATCGTACAAGTGGTACATAAAATGTAATAAACGTAAAAAAAATTCAAAAATGTCACAATACTATACAACATCAACAAATTTGATGACTATTCAATAAATTATTGAACAACGATCAAAAGACAACCAATTTCTTTTGTGCTTTTTGAATGAAGAACCCAATTTTTCTTCGAACACATTAGCTTACCGTTTTCTTCAAATTACATTTTTTGAGCTCAATACCAAATGTGACTCATACGAACGTTAAAATGATCATAACACTTACCGATCACAGAACGAAAATCATTATTTACAATTCACCTCAATTGACATCATTTTATAAATATTGTTTGATCTTTCAAAAAAATATCACAACCCACGGATATTCGGAGAAATTTAACAGTCGTAATAATATCCAAACGCACTTATTTTCTAAGGCCTTTTCAGCATTCAAATACGATTCAAGAAAAGACTGAAATATGAACAAAATTTCCAAGTCCGACCAACTCTTGCTTGAGCTCTCTCTTAACCATCGGTATCAGCAGTTAATTATAAAACTGGTGGGAAACATAGTACACATACTCCAATTAACATAAATTCTCTACAGTTCCTAATTGTAAGCTAGATAGGGAGGCTTTCATCCTTTCGTCCAAAACGAAACCAACAAAAAACCCGTTACTATTCCCTCCTTCCTTCCTCGAATACATCACAAAATCAAACCACATCATCTAACGAACAACATTGTGTTAACGGTACAGTTTCATCGGAAACGATCACCTTCAATTCGTACGCACAACAGATTCGCTGTCGGCAGAATGGGCAATTCAGTGTCGACACATCTGGCGTATTCGAATAACGAACCATATCAATTATACAACAACAACAAATCAAATGACCACAATTCAGCTGACGATTCGCAAAATGTTGCCAACAGATTTGACATTCTTCTGGTTCTTCGGGCACTTCCAATTTCGGTTTGACACAGCAGTGACCCTTTCGAAACTCCTCTTCACACTTATGCGCAAATTTTTCCAATCGAGTTGCACTTTCATCAAAATCACTGGAAATCTCTTGACCGTTCCCAACAACATCGATCTGGTTCCGAGGATTTGCCGATCTCAATCGCTGCATCTCGGTCGCTCCATCAAAATAGCCGTCCTCTAGTTCACCATCAGAATGCATTAAACTCAGAGTTTGTCTACTTACCGTCCCATTTCTTCTTGCTCGATTCTCGAAATTGTGACTGTGAGTGATACCTTGAGTAAGAGCACGCTGATGCCTATGCCAGTGCACATCAGCCACATTATTTTCTTCAGATTCGATTGAAATTATGACCCTATTGTTGTGACGGCCTCCGCGTTGTCTTTGCTGCTGTTGAATCGTCGTTGCAGCAGGCCTTCGACGCCAAACCATACCGGTCGGCTCAATGTTTAATCGTATACCCAAATAAATCGCAAAAGAGATACACAGTGCAAAATCCACCCTCAACAACGTTATCGTCGTACACAAAGATGAATGGGCGAATGCATTCGGTAACGCTGACTGAACACATAGACCTTCTGACGATGTTCCATTGATGTTTGCGGCGTTACATCTGATTACACAAGTGGCACGAACCTTAATACAATCAACACCTGTGGCACTCGCATTGCACATCATTGTATTATTTTTGCAGTTTATCATTTGAGACTCATTAATGATGGTGTTGTTGGCGTCGTTGCTTAATTTCAAAACGATAGCTTCTTGTTCAGCGACCAGAATCGAATGCATAGTTCTGGTTTGAACGACTGTAGCTGCTGCAATCGCAAACGCCGTCACCAATATAGCACGATGTCTGGAGCGACTTGACCTCACCAACCAACCGCGAGCCACAAAACGTTTATTACGCCAGTCGACCTGAACTCGACCTGCGGACATCACGTAGTGGAAGAAGCAAGCACACCAGAATAGCAACGTGAATGTAGCCGTTGAGAGTTTGAACTGCGCAAGAACATCCAACGAACTATGGAATGTGTACGATGGCCATTGGGCGAACGTTAGTGCGTAGAAGAATAGTGCACTACAGTGACGAGCCAACGTTGACCATGGGTACGCGACGAGTGACTGGAACAAGGTGCTGGGGTTGAAGAGGTATTGAGGTGTAGGTAGAGAGGCAATCGAGGTACTCATACGGCTTATGGATTACAGGTAGTTCGGGCTAACAGAGCAGACAAAATATGTGAAGTCGTATAAGATAGCAAGCTGATAATAAGGATCTGGTGAGTTGTTTGCGAGTGTACAGGAAGTAATCAGTTAAATACTGCTGATGATTATGACAGTGAATAGTCAGCTTAGAATAATTGTTCAGCACTGCAAAGGGACAAGATAGTCTCCGATGACAAAATTTGGTATCATTCAAAACGAATACAATAATATAATAAAGAGCACTAGTGCTATCAATCAAATAACCTCTATATACTTTCACTAGTAACAATTCAATATATGCCACAGCTGCTAAATGATAACAGAGATAATGAATTTTTCTGATAGCAAAAAGCTAACCGACACAATATGCCACTGTTCAAGTAATGAACCAATAGTAAAGCTCAATGAAAATTCTCACACGTGAATTACTTCTGCCTCCCCGAAATAATCAAAAATTGCAGATAACAGAACAGCGCTCTTCCAAACAGTACGTCAACAGAATGACACAGTAATTTGCCGACAGAATAAGAAAGTTCGATGAACACTTATTCTCTGTGAAATTCAAAAAATTTTCCCCAGAGTTCACTCGTAAAGTATCAGTAATAATAATAATAATGAAACAATATCGTTCAGCAGGACTCAGAATCAGACTTATTTGATCAATATAAGCGATCAATGACAAGCGTTTGCATCAACTGTGCTGAATAAATTTCGCAGAAATTATCTGTTCGAACAATATCATTGAATTGCAGTCAGAATCGATTCAAGAAACGAAACGAATCACCACATCAAGCAACTCAGTAATAACAGCAAACCACACAAAACAATACCTTTACCAATGAAACGTTTGTTTGCGAGCGACAAATTGATACAGATAGATATTTAATGCTATAGACTCTCGTGTCTTTGTAGCGATACATTATCAATCCGTTAACTAAATATATTTACGAATCATTGTTTATATACTGATATGGAATTGTTTTCATGTCAAAAGAGGCCACGTACTCAGATGACGCGCGTTTCATTGACAGGCAGTACATATACATGTCAACAGCGATAAAGTGAGCATTCGAAGAACAGTGATAAGAAGCAGTCTGTGCTCATTTATCAGTGAAGATTGGTGTGAGATCATATTATCTTCACGGCAATTCTCTGTTCAACAAAATTTATGAACAACACAACTTAATATGAACAATGAATCACGAAATTTCGATTGCAACGAAGCTGACTATGTTAGTGTTCAGGAACTATCCCGACAATGAGTAATATCCACTTTGACGTAATATTTCAAATTCTACCCACAATGAAATGATCCTAATGCACATCTTAATTCAAGCTTAAAATTTTGACATACTTCCACACATGTGAAAACGAAATTGTGTATTCATATATATATATATATATATATATATATATACAAGAATGCATATTGTAGAACTGATATGTTTATATATCGACTATGATCAGATACGCTCTACTTGAGATGAAAGCACAAAAATTAGTTCAAAATAAGTTAGTAATGATAAAGATAATCATAAGTAAAATCATAACTACAACAGTATTAATGACAGTAACAAAAAGCTAATAAAATCAATTGTAACAACAACAAAACCAATAATAATTGTTAAAACTGTATACGTCAGTTATTCCTTAATAGCGAAAATATTCTCTCTAGATTGAATGTGAACAATGAAACGAAAACCACAAATTTTCAGTGAAATTATACCATCAGAAGAAAAAATAACTAACCGCTGAAAATTGTCGACGAATGCTTTACAAACGTCCTCGCTGACCTGTCGATGATGTCCCATGTCGCGACGATTACCAAGAATCAACACCGGTATATTACTCGGAACATTCGACACTTCTTTCACCACATAATCCCATGTCCTTAATTGTTATGCCACTTGAACTATTGCTAATATGACAGATATCCGCCTAGCAAAATCATTTCCCCGATAACAGTTCTCGTCTTCTAATTTCGTTTCACTCCAGACGAGAACAAGTGTTGATAAGAGTAGAAATAAAGATGATATTAAAGAATCACCAATTTTTCGTAATATCGAACATGAGGATGACACCGTTCGCTCCTTTGTAAACATCCACGTAACGCGCATCACACACTGCATCTTCAAACTGTAAACTCTTAACTATAATAACTGCGATTCATTTCGTCACTGAACATAAATGAATATAAAAGAGAACGGAGCAATTGAAACACTTTTAACAATAAAATCGCTCAATCAACTTCCAAAAAAGGGAATTAAATACGGCAAATTGATAAAAGATTCTCCACTAACATCGTTCACTCTATGGAAAGAATGATGCTTTAAAAAAGTGAAGACTATCATAATTAGAGCTCATGTACAGCAGTCATACACATAATCCTACCGACTGAATAAACAAATGAACGAGTAAATCAACCAAATCAATAGACATTCCATCATATCAAAGAAACAACGAGTCTAATAATAGTAAGTAATAGAAAATATAAAATTAAATCAAATCAAAACCTCTGCTGCATCAACATTCGTTAGTTTTAACGCATCAGCCTTAATTCGCTTCTTACGACTTTGATCAACAACGTCCCAAACGTCCACTTTAACGATATCATCTGTTGCACGATAATTCCACTGAATTGTAGCCACCTGTGGAAGCTTATCGTTATTTCTATTACTATCACCATCAAGCTTCCATCTTCACAAAAAAATATCTATGACCATTATCATTTTAAAAAACAGTGGAAATAACAACAGTGGAAATATTCATAATAATGAAACAATGACAAAATTAGGAATATTCAAGACTGTAACAAAAAGCAACACGAATCTGAGTTCCATTAACTAAACGAATAAGCACCATATCAGGCAACGATCAAAGCAAACGAATGAAATAGAAATAAGACCATACCTGAATTTCTTCAGTTGGAATATAATCCTCAACGAACGCAAGACCCTGAAGTCGTCTTAGTAAGCATGTCTTACCAACACTTCGATCGCCCCGTATCACTATTTTCACTGCAAACACGAAATCGATTCAAATAATCTCTGCATACCAATTCATTGCAATCAACGTTCAACCGAAAAAATACTTTCACCGCAGAACACAACAGCAAACCTAAAGTCTCTCATGTCCTAGCAGGTTTTCACAAAAAATGCGCTCTCTGAAACCATACATCTCATTTAATTCTTGCCAGCATTAGGTTAGTTTTTCCTTCTTCAAATGAATAAACAAAATCAATATTTCTTAAACAATAAGCAATATTTCTTTTGCAGTTAATGATTCAACGCACACACATTTCTGTTATTAATAATTCCCAAAACAAGCCAATATCATAGGCTCGAAAGATGATGTTGCCTGGGGTGGAGGCTGATGGGTAAACGGGAGGAAGGAGTTGGAGGTTGGGTGGGGGAATGAAGAGGGAAAGTGAAGTTGATGGGGCCATGGTATTTTGCCGTGGTCGCGTCTATTTCAATTGAACTCAAACGGATGCTAAACGATCAACTCAACAACCGTCCTCTGTACGGCCCATTACAACACTTGGTACCATCAGCCAGTTCATGATAGAACTGAATGACGGATATATGCAAACACCGCGATAGAGAGGAGTCGCCCCATTGGTACTCTGCAGAACAGGACATGAAAGAAGATGGTATCTGAGTGCTGAGTTAATGAAACATGAAACGGACTATTGTATTGTACGCCTCGAGAATATTTCTTCTGTAGTTCATGATCCAACGCACACACACCAACTGGCATATTACGGTTGTGTGGATGCTGTTGTGCGCCTTGCTGAGGTGAGTTTGCGCCCGATGCATTTTGCGTGCCCGTTGAATCGGCTGCACCGAATTTCTTCTTCAGTGCTGAGATCATTGTTGGATCGATTTCTCACCACCCTTCAATGAGAGAAATTATTTGTATTCATTGAAAACTTCGCATCGATTGAAAATCACTTGAAAATTTTTGGGTATAAACAGTGAATTTTTTAGATTTTAACGCATTTAAAGATAAATTTTGAATTAGCGATTAAATTTTTTGAATGAACGGTTCATAACATCAATGATTACATTAAGATATAGTATGTATATGTGGCATATAAAAACCTAGATGAAATTTCAACTGCTGAACGTCAAACGACCAAAACAGTCCATGCGTACAAAAATACTTAATCAACGTTTTAATGCGTGACAGTGACTACATGAAACGTGCAGGTCACGATTATTTGTGTGGATCAGCAAATGAGAATCAAATAAACCGTAGAAGGTTCCCCAGCTTGGAAAGCGACTGTTTTTATGTTCACTTGATCTCGGACGAATTCAAGATAAATCATTTATTTTCGTTGTGCATTCAACAATAACGTAATAACGGATGAATTATTTCTCTGAATTAAACGAATTATTGGTGAGAAATCGATTTTTCTAGCAATGATTAGAATCGGATGAAAATGACAAATACATAGTAAATGACTGAGTGACAGAACAGGTGAATTAATCGCAATTAAAGAAACAACAACGCATTACTGAACAACACTACGTATAATTAATTCACACTCTCACACCATAACTCAACATGCTGAATCGCTAAAAATTTGCACTCACATCACTGAAATAATCCAGCCCAACTCTCCAATCGCTCACTCCTCACAGACAATATTGGCACAATCCAATGAAACAGAACATTTCGGAGATTTTCCACATCAAAACAATGCAAATATGCGAGAAAATGTTACATGCCGGGATAATTTAATTCAAATCAACCTCAAACCAGATTTTCAATTCGTAAAATCTGTTAGTCTACTTGAGTGGCAATAATTTGAGTTTTGAAAGCCTGTATGACTATCAATAACTGCTCCTCAAGATCATATAGCACCTACTTCAACGCAAACATATACACATCAAGCATTCCTCGCGGAAAATGAGCCTGTTTTCGACTGTTCAAAATCGTTAAGCCGGCTCTCCGCAGCAACTCGACGATACGATCTTTTGGTCGAGTCCAGCTGCTGTCCTCAGGATCGAAATCGTATCTGTCTTCAGACGATGATACGTTCTCTTTCAGCACAATACAACCACCTTCACGGATACCATCCTACGAAAACTGGTAAATTCACTATCACGATTATTCGAAAAATAGGCTGTTCTTGATTGATAGCACGGGTTTCGGTAGCAAAACCAGTGTTTAACTTCAACAACAAGATGCCACTTTTTGACAGCTCAAAATCACTGGACGTTTAAGATTTCAAAAACTAAAAACGTCCAACTTTTGAAATTTATAAATTCTGAAGTTGGAAATCAAGTGAGGTAGAAAAATGAACAAAAGCCGGGAAAGCAACCTTGCATCGTCGGAAAAATCTCATAAAGTCTTCATCGGTCAAGTGGCCAGTAACCCACTGAACCCATATCAGATCATAATAGTGCTCCAACGGTTCAAAATCTTGCAGACCACAAACGAACTTTTGCCCAACTCTTTTGTCGTCAGCGCCGATGTATTTCGATGATTCTCAAAATCCACTTCAAATGAACACTGATATTGTCTATTGGTAATTCAAAAAAATCAGAATGATTCTAAACATAACTAATCGTGATTCAACATCAAGAATCAAGTCAAAATTTTTCGATATGTATGGATCGATCATTCGCACGGAACAAGAGCGTTGCATTCAGCGATAACAGAAAGCATCACTAATTTTTATGCTATAACCAACAATTAATTTCGGTTGCTCACTAAGAAAATAGCTGAATAAAAATAAGCCGAGTTATCCAAACTACCTGCAATAAAATTCTCAGTAACATCAACCATATCGACAGTTTTGAATATCGGTAATAAGAGATGTTTCGTGATTCGACCAATACCACATCCACAGTCAATCGCACGTTCATAATTCATCAAGTAATTCTGACATAAACATAGTCCGAATTAGCTTAAAATGGTGCAGTTTTGATTGAAATACAATATCAATATCAAAGAACCGATCTAAATGATTCGATTAATGTGAACGTGCGTTTCATTTTTTTCGAATCAATGCAGTGCAACCGGATGGTCAGAAATGGAAAATAAAAATGAAACCCAAGCCAGAACGGCCTTATCGTACATAAAAAATCTTTCGAGTGGAACGCGAATTTCATTCAATCGATCAGATGAGCGAACGTATTCATTTCGGATGAAAAGATAAATCGAAAATTTCAAAACCACTGAATCTCCGTAATGCGGCATCGAATTTATTTGTTTTCTATGAATTCAAGGACCTTGCGAATCTCCTTCCCGCATATTACTTCAAATTCACTTCGTAATTCAGTTCAAAATGAACGGAACGATTTGTTTGTAGAAGTCGCCAATGAAAATTTGTGGACTATTCACCTTTGCCTTCAAGTTCGAGATGAATTTTTTCGAATCACTCATATCCGGTAGATGCAAATGAGCGAATCCACCTAACATCCCATCGACGTCACACGAAACACTGGCCCAGTAGGCTTCCGCCTACAAAATTAAGAATTCGATCAAAAAAAATCGAGCAGAGCAATGTTCTTTATATAATGAATTCAGTCATGCTTCCAATCTCAAATTTCGGCAATACAAATACGCTTAAATGCTCATTAATTCAATAAATTCGGCCCTAAGACTAGCGTAAATGTAATTATACCTTCTCATAGACATCGTTCTTCTTACTGTCATCTTCATCTACCACTTCCTCATCGGCAACAGTCCTTGACGTCGAAAACATTCTCACATCGATCTCACTGAACTGTCGGGTTCTATGATGAAACTTCAGACAGGATTGATGCTGTGGATTTGATTTGTTAAAACAGTTCAATCCAATATTGCAAACTCTTGTCAGATTCCTCTTAAGCATAAAGGAAATTGAATGTGATTGATGTATTGCCTATTGATGAAATGGCCAAATTTTGGAATAAATCACTCGACTTTCATAACATAATGATGGAACTGATGGTACAAAATTATCACTTAAACCAAACTAGATTGATTTTCTCGGAAATCCAACCTGGGAAATTCACAAGCGAACGTGATACTGTGCCACAACTCCTTTATATATAACATCTGCAGCTGACGTGTCTGATGTGTGTAAGATCGCTAGTGTGTTTGATTAAATTAACCTTCGAGGTTTTCCTCGGGGAAGGAGAAAAACAAGGTTTTCTTTAAGATGTGTAATAGTTGTCGAGGAGGGAGAGCAGTCTCCGTGGAAATTAAAGGAGAAAGGTTCATCAGAGAGGAAGAAGAGTCTATCCAAGGGGGAGGAGGATTCCTCGAGAAAGAGAAGAGAAAAGCTCACCTAGGAGGGAGAAGGGTTCCTCCGAGATGGAGGAAATTTCCTCTTAAGTTCCCCCGTAAGGGAAGAGGGTTTTCTCTCGAGAGAGGTTACCCCAGGAGATGAAGAGGTCTCAAATAAGAGAGGATGTTCCCCTGGATCAAAGACGGTGTCTGTGGGATCAGGATCGCTGGGCTGGGAAAAGATAAAGTGTCTACCCCCAACTAAAAGTAAGCGCACTACTCTCGACCCTGTTAAGGGTAGACGAGGGTAGAGCGCTTGCCCTCAGTTGATAATAAACTGTTTGCCCGAACCGAGGCACTCCCAACCGAGAACGGACACCATGCCCAGGGTGTCCACCCTCAGCTGAGGGCCGAAGTGTCCCCGTGGGAAGACACAACAAAAATCTCAATGGATGAAGTTACTGAGTCTCAGATTCGGCACCACCATTCGTCTCTGCGAAGCAGGTGTACGTTGAAATGAGTGAGGAATGAGTTCGTTTATGTACGATTTCCGAAAGTGATATTCGCGCCGTAATTAATGAGCAAATTCATCAACATTCCGACATTATTTCATCGAAATCCTACACATCGTTCGACCTACTAATCATGCTAATATCTGTAATGAATTAAATCAGATATAACACAATGCTCTAACTGAATCCTATGCCAACTGCGCAATACTCTAAATGTCATCCACGCTAATCATTGCTCTCACACAGTAAAATCCTTGCACTTACTTCTTCAACCTTTGCAGTTCATAATGAATCTTGCTCAACATCCTCCTCAAATTGAAGATCACATCTGCACTTTTTTTCAACTTCCAATAAACTTTTACTAATAAGGAGGTATCAGAACACTGTTAGAATTCTTGAATATCTCAATTTCATCTTGTGCTGTAAAATTACTCTTTAGTCCGCATTTTGCTTCTCATTTTGAGGTGGTGAGGTACTAATGCTAATTGTAAGATAAAAATTTAGTTGCTCTTATTTAAGAGTGTTGTAGTGTGACATTCTTTAGTTTTTCGTTGTGCTCTCATAATTGCATCGAACTGAACTGGAAGTAATTCTTCGGTCACCATCTTCTGATTATTTAAGCACGCGTTGTTTTATTCGTTTTCTAAGCAGAGGAGCAATTTACTCGGATCAGTTTGTTCTCGTCTGCACCACTATATTCACATTTTAACTCTTATATTGACTCACTGCGAGTGTGGCGTAGTGTTCCATGCAAACATTCGATCTATATTTGTGATCTAATGTATTGCCTCAGGCCTCTAAAAATCGTCCAACTCATTTTCTTGGAAGATTTGCTTCTGTTTTTTATCTGAATGTTTAGGAAGTGAGAGCACATCTTCCGCTGATACTGCGTCAATAATGAGTCTTATATGGGAATTGAACAATTCTTATCATCAGCAATGAAACGTTATCACGTTCGTCGAAGATGTCTTAGAAAATCATTTGTAAATGTTTATTGGGTATGATTTTAGACTGCGATAATGGAAGAAGTGCCATTTCATTCATTTTCTACTATCCCAATCTCATGCTAGCATTCCGACACCCCGCCGCCCTTATCATCTACTACGATATCGGAGGGGAAATTTTTATTTACGCAGAAATATGGAAGTTTCTGTACAAATGTGGTGTTTCAGTGATCCGTTGTAACAGAAGGAATCACAGAAAACTTTGAAAATTTTCTTTCGAGATCCGAGAATTGCTTCGTGTTTTCGGTCAGTCTTTGAATTGACTAAATCGCTTTTATAAGGTGGTCTCATCCAGATTCTGTTGATCACACTCTTTGTTTTATTTATTTCCGTTTTTTAGGTTTAGATTAGTGTATGTCGTAGAAAAAGTAACAGTTAATGTTTTGATTTTATCCAAAATAGTCTGCTTTAAAGCTTATTTCATCTATGCAGTCGATTCGTTTATTTCATGTCATTGAAAAAGTTTTTAAAAGCAGTCCATCAGTTCTACCTTTACTTCGTTAAAATCCGGGTTCATCCGGTATCCTGTAATTTTATTACCACTCCAACTCATCTACCATGTTCACGTGCCAAATTATACCCATCGATGGAAGCGAAAAGCCGAATTCATGAATAAAGTGAGCTCAGCGTGAACTTGTTTTGCAAGCAAGTCAGCTCTTGGACCAGCTAGTGAGGAAAAATCCCCAATTTTCCTAGAATTTTTTCTCGTACTTCGAACAATGTCTGAATCGACAGGCAATAAACACCCGAGAAGAGACATAAAACCTAAGTCCGAAGTGATCACTGCCGTACGAATTGTACCAGTCATTAGAGCAACCTGTTCTTACTTGCTCCAATTGGTTGCTGTAATGCTCGTAGTGTAATGAATGCTGATTCGTGCTCCAGTGTAATATGTTTCAAGAATGCTTAACTTTATGATGTACTCCTAGTATATGGTATTTATAATCGCACTGCAAATCCCTTCAGTGAATTTCGCAAAAACAACGGGCACATTCAAATCAAATTGATGAGACTAAACTAGTCAACGGATTTGACAATTTTTATAAGAATTTATTTGATCGTCGTTATTGTTAGGAATACGAATGAATTCAATAATTTCGGCAGCAGTGCGACGTGCGAGATTGATTGAAAAGAATCGATGATGCGATTACATTCAGAATTTTTCGGCGCCTATCCGACATTGTAATGTCGGTGTTTCATCACCATGCAACACCGGATTCACGGCAACGGCACGACACCAGCGCTTTGCCGACCACAACAACATCATCTCCGTACGATAGAACACAAACCACCTCGAAAACTTCTCAATCCCCCACTAAGGCTATCCCGCGTAAGGTGGACGATGCAAAATCTTCGATGGCTTCGGCATCATCTCCTTCACCGTCTTCTGCTTCCGCTACCATCACATCCACCAATTCGACCGTCTCAGAGTCGCAATCCGAGTCACACTCGCCGCCACAATTAACACCCTCAACAGCATCTAGTACGCCGGTACAGAAACCGATAGAATCAGACCAGAAACCTGATGCCACACTGAACACTTCCGAGCGACATTCCGTCACTGGAATGAAACTTTTCCCCATTGGTCAGTTATCTCATACATATTTGTCGCTCTTTTTTGCTAAAATATCTGCAAATTTTGTTGCTCACTAGATAGATTGATTTATTTTAGATGAACCAATTGATCAGCCAAAGGTTGGACCGCATGTGAAGCGTGTTACGCCATTGTTGAAATCAACGGCCAAAACGAATGCACCTCTTATTCAAGGCTCAGTTCGAAAGGTTTTTACAGATATTATACTGAGTAGTCTGCATGAGTATCACTAAAAACTATTTTGTTGAAAGCTGAAAAAGGATAGGCAGATTTCCTTTTTTTCTGTTAAAAACATTGAATTTGAGGAGACAGCAATAGCGACTCATGCGAATCTGCATGGTGTATCACCAGAGAAAGAGATGCGATTGAGGGAACTTTATGAACGACTGGATATGGATAATGATGGCACAATCGATATTCGCGATTTAACAACTGCCCTAAAACATGAAATGCCACATATTCCGAGTGTTCTTGCTCCGGTTAGTTTTGGCTTTTCCAGCCGAATATTTGTGTCGTTTTGATTAAGTCAGTTTGCTTTGCCCAACAGTCTTCGACTCTATCTGTCAATTTGAATCCCACATCTTTGCTAACAAACAATTGGATTGAGATCTCGATCGTTCGAAACTTGCGGTCAGAAACATTAAGCTGAAAGATAGAGCTATGATGAGTGTACATATTTTTTCTTCATACTACTTTTAGAAACTTTTCGAACGGATGAATCAAAATGAGCGAGTGAATTTCGCAGAGTTTGTGAATTATGTGGTGGAGAAGGAGAAACATCTCGAGATAATTTTCCAAGATCTCGATCAGAATAAAGACGGTTCGTTTCAAAATTTTTAGTTTTTTTCTCCTCAGTTGAATGAGCATTTTTGCCTCTTATCTTTGGTTTGAATAAAATTCGCAGTGTACATTTTACATTTTAGCATTGAACAGCAATTTATTTACTTCATTGTTTTTCTTTTGTGGAATGATATTTCAAAGAGCGATGAAAAAGTGCCACTTAAAAGTATTATGTTTGATTGACTGCGGAATAAATTAAATTTTTCAAGGTTACATTGATGTTCAAGAAATAAAACATTATTGTGATGATTTGGGTATTCCAATATCTGATAAAAAAGCACAAAGTATTGTTGAAAGGTGTGTTTTTTCTTCAAATTATTTTGTCCGACATTTATATTTCTTCGAATATTCGTTATTATCATCGCTGATATTATGATTATCCTAATCACTGTCCTTGCCGTTACATCTATCGTTATATGTGATCGCCTTTCCTCGTCACTTCTCGATTCTTTGCCCATTTCTGATCTGTCTCAAACGTGTTTCTTAATCAAAGAGTAATACGTTTGCATTTTATTATTGAGCAAAAGAAAAAAATCCGATCGAATACTGAAATAATTTTCGGTAATTCTTGCGTCGAGTCGTAGGTCTGATATTAATTGCGTTCATTTTCTGCAACAGAAATTGTGTTATTCTTTACCGGAATTTCTGTCGTCTTCAAGCGAAAAACTAGAATTCGTCCCATTGTGAAGCAATTTTTTTCGATTTTTCTTCAGTTCGCTATCAGAGGTTGTTTAAGTAAACTGTTGAAAATTGCATAATGCTTACTCAGTCAAGTTGAATACTCCGAAACATTTTGAAATATTGAATTTTGTCAGGTTTTCTCTTCTATCCGGTCTTCAGTTTTGTCATTGCTGTTGTTACGATGATGACACTTACTCATTCTTATTGCTGTTGCAATAGTTCTGTTATCGTTGTCAATAGCGTATTCGCTGCGAAGGTTATTGATTTATCGTTGACTGTTGAGAAGAAATAGGTAGTGTGTTTCGGTAAAACTATATTGATTCAAATTTTGCATTGTTTATGAAAGTATTGAAAGCAATCAACAGTCAGCATATTTGCATTCATCTCAATAGATTTTTGTCTATCACTGAGTTTTTATAATGACGTTTCTAAGGTATACTAAACATACGTACTGAGTTTGATGTACTTTGATTGGTTATTCTATGAAATGAGCAACTTTTCAAATGGATATTTTTAATGTGAGCGTATGAGTGATAGTTTTCGCAAAAAACTGTAACAAAGGATGGTGTTGGTGGCCGTTTTGGGGAGCGGATTTGAAAAATTTGCAACAGCAGGTCTTTACATGAATAGTACGAAATTTTTTGTAGATCGGTATTGGATTTGGGAGGTTATAAGAGGTTATATGTAGTAACAAGTATGCATTATAGATTGGGTTAGGTGAAAGCCGGCCAGTTCATTAGTGTGTTCCATTTCGTTTAGATTCACTTTCGAAGAAAACTTGTGGATCCATATAACCGTTCAAGTAAAAATGCAGTAGTAGTGATAGATTTAAACGAAATCTTCTTATAGCATGAATTTTTCGTTTGTTTATTTGAAGGATACTAAATGCGAATCAACTGAATCAATCGCAGGTAGCTGCCCGTTTAAGGTGAAAGAATTTCGGAATGTTTAGCCAACTTTGAAACGATCGAATTTCGGTTTACGCACACTCAATACGCATCGTGAATTGGAAAAGAGAAATTCAGAAACATAAGAAAGGTAGAATGGAGAAAGATTGTTCGCAACAAACAAGAGGAATTATTTGAGTTTTAGCGAATTTGGCGAACGTAATCTGATGCGTTGCTTTTCGGAATTTTGGGCAGGAATCGTAAACGCGTGAATCCTTGTTCTGATTTTAATGCGTAAACCGAAGTTTGACAAGTTTTACAGTGCTGCTCTTAGTGCGAAGCAGTGGCACATCATTATTATAAGGCTTCTTGCTTACTTTTAGTATTATTATGGCGTCGCACTTACTGAAGCTAGAGCTAGAACTTCTACTTGAATATGTTGCATGATTCGGGTTCGATTGCTATCATAACGCTTCACGCGCTGCTCTCACACTTAACTTTTGAACCAGATTCTGTTCTGTTTTCTAGTGCTAACGGTTCAAGTTCAAAACAATGTGCAGTTTGAAACGTTTTGGACTTCACTGCTCATTGATTACACCATATTTTTCGTTTGAATCAGATCAGATCGCATACATCTCAATACTTTGATCGCTTTCCATGATAATAATTGACTCATTAGCAGACCGTTAAACCAATTTGACAAATCATTTTAACGCGACGAATTTCTAGAACAGTGCGTGATGAAAATTCTAGCAATAGTAAATCAGCCAAAAAATTTTTTTGAACAAAAATCAGCCGAATAAATTTTTTGCAGATTTGTTGCCGTAGATTGAAATATGTTTTCTTAGTTTGTTTAAACCAACTGATTTATTTTCCGTTTCATAGAATTTATTTAGTTTATTTGGGTTTAATTTATAATATTTGCAAGTAACTATATATTTCCTTTTTTTGAATGCTCATATCTTTCGTTTCTGTTAGAGATAGTATTCTATCTGTGCTGAATTATGTTTTGATATGATAGCATCTGAATTAGCGATGTGCAGCACCATTTGTAAATATGATGGTTCACAGTGGATTAGTCGTCTAAAATGAAGCTTCATTTCGCCGCCCTTTCCAGTCGAATGTCTCACAGTCGGAAATTGTTTTTTCGAGAATTTCAACGAGGTATTATACCATTGTGAATATTTGAAGAGTAGGCGACAAATGAAAAAGCACTATAGGGCCGATGTTTTTTCACTGGATTGTTAATGAAACAATTTGACTAGGGACGATGAAATACTTACACGTTTATATGTAGTGTACTACTCTCATTGAAACTGCTTCATCGAATGATGGATGTTGTTTGTTTTTTCATTCATTATGGAAAAACATCAAAAAACCATAAGAAATCGCGAGCGAAATGAACGTCAGTGCACCATTGAAAGTAATGCGATGAAATTGAGCTGTTTTGTTACACTTCAAATTAACATAGCCATTTGCAGCTTACTCATTCTGTTCATCTTTAATCTATCCACCTATCAGCCAGTTCGCACTGATCAAATAGCGAATGCGTTCACTTGTTTTTTCCTTTCGCTTACCGACGAAATAAACAAACGATTTGTATTTGGCTCAGAAATCCCATCTTTTTTTTTGAAGCTGGTGATTGAAGTTATTGCCATCAACAACACGAATGAAAGTGAATGAAAGGAGTGAAAAACTTTAAGCGCAGTTCAGTAAAATTTATTTTTTTTATCGCCAGTGATGAACTAAGAAACAAGGATGCAGCTTTTTCGTAGAGGAGGGGGAGCGGGTGGTAGAGGCGAAGGAATTTCCTTGTTTGGACATGTGTGGATAGCGACACTGAACTGCATTTTCGATGAAATTACAGCTTTTTGTACGAATTCCAGTTGAAAATTTTGAGACCTTCGATGAAGATGGCTCCATAAAATTCGTATATAAACGTGAATCATTTCCGTATAAAATTTAAATATCTTTCTGAAAATGTTAAGCATGTTCATGGAAAGGGTAAGCGTACTCATAGGTTATTGTTAAAGTTTTGAAAAATGAAATCCTTTATGTCTTCCATCATATTCCTAGTGAATGGTAGTCAAAATTGTTTGATAACAATGACTGCATGGCTGCTGATACATAACCTAATTATGATTTGTTCACTTGCATTTTTAGGTAATGGTATCTTTTTTTCTCTCATCGAATTTAGGAAGACTGAATTTATTTGGAATTTATTCGAAGATATTTGCTTCAGCTCTTGTATATGTCATTGCCTTTAATCACTAACTATCAAAGCATTAATATAATATCTCGTGTTGATGTTGGTGTTTTGTGAGACAAATGATGTCCCATTGTTTTTTGATTTGTTCTTCGTTATATTTTGCGTCAGTCTAACTCAGAACTCTGAACTTTGCACATGTTTGTTTGTTTTCTAGAATGGATCAGACGGGTTCGGCGGCTATCGATTTATCCGAGTTCCAAGATTTTATGCTCTTCTACCCCAGCTCAGATCCAAAAGATATCGCACGCTTTTGGAAGCACAATCTTGTACGTTGTTGTCTTTGGCATCAAATGTTTTTCCGTTTTTTTTNTTTTTTTTCAATTTTTGGATTTGATTCTATTTCCCTGAATAATCAGTTTAGGTTCACGAAAAGTGAAGAAATGAATTGTTATGAGTGTGTGATTGTATTAGAATCAGTAATGGGGAGATGTTAGGTTGTGCCTGAATTTGTTGACATTAAAAACAACTGAAATGGTCAGCAGGAGAGGAGTTTATTGAAATGGTTTCAAAACATTTATTGAATTTTTCTGGCAATTCGACTGAGTGTATCTTATTTGCTCAGGTTATCGATATCGGTGAAGATAGTCAAGTCCCGGAGGATTTCACGCAACAAGAATTGATAAGCGGTGTTTGGTGGCGGCATCTAGTGGCTGGTGGCATCGCCGGTGCAATGAGTCGGACTTCAACGGCACCTTTGGATCGAATTAAAGTTTACATGCAAGTATGTGAATTTGTTCGATATATTGTCTTTTGCACTTCTTGTTGTTGTTCAATTATGGTGAATGTTTTTCTGAACTAATGTCAGGTTCACGCAACACGACAGAATCGTTTGAATCTCTATAAAGCGGTACGATTTCTATTCGAAGAGGGTGGTTTGCGGTCGTTTTGGCGTGGTAATGGTATCAATGTGATCAAGATCGCACCCGAGTCTGCAATCAAGTTTATGGCATACGAGCAGGTTGCTTCTTAATCAATTGGACATAATGTGATCATCATCTGTTGGTATTTTGCTTGATTCAAATCGAATCAAACGAAAAATTTATGTTACTTTTTTGTTTTTCTCAGACGAAACGTTTGATACAAACGCTGAAAGACGATCAAAATTTGTGTATATACGAACGATTCGCAGCTGGATCATCAGCTGGTGTCATTTCACAAACATTGATTTATCCGATGGAGGTAGGTTTCATCTTCGTTGTTTATTCATGAATCTATAATATATAGCTGCAGTAGTTATTAATTCCATCGAGTTGCTATTGATACTCATTGTATCAGAAGTTTATTTGTTGATACGTTGTTCGTAAGACTGCTTTCATTCAGGTGTTGAAAACAAGACTCGCATTGCGACGAACGGGGCAGTTAGATAAAGGTTTATTACATTTTGCGCATAAAATGTACCAAAAAGAGGGATTAAAGTGCTTTTATAAGGTCAGTTTGCTGTTATTCAATATGTTATATAATACTGATCATTTGACTGTTTTGTTTTTCACTCATTATCAGAACAGTTGATGATGATGGTAGTGACATGGATAATGTGTTGAATGATGAAAACAAAGGAAGATAAGTTATGCTTTCAGGGCTACGTGCCGAATATGTTGGGTATAATTCCATATGCAGGTATTGATCTAGCGATCTATGAAACGCTAAAATCATTTTACGTGAATTTTCAAAAAGATGTCACTGAGCCGGGAGTGTTGGCATTGCTGGCGTGTGGTACATGTAGTAGTACGTGTGGACAACTGGCTAGTTACCCATTGGCGTTGGTTAGAACCAGATTGCAAGCAAGAAGTTGGTGATAATTTATTATTCATTTTCGTGATTTAAGCTTAAAATAACTTAATTCTTGCCATTTTACGGACAAATTCATGTAGTAATGTTGCAATTTTTGGAATTTCTCTAGCTGCAGTTTATGTTTTTGAACACATTTATATAAATTTTATTCGAGATTCTTATAGTGCAGTATGAATTTACAGTGGAGAATTTCTTTTTTGATTGATAAATTTATCAGTTCTTTTTATTAATTGTTGTTGTTTGAGAACATAATAGGCACGATTATCAAAATACACCATAAAATAGACTGAATGAATAGAGGTTTGGAAAGGAAAATTGATAGTTTGTTTTGTTAGCATCAAAACACAGTTACTGATAACAGTTTACTGTTAAATTGACTCAGCAGAAGGAATTCACAAATATATTAATACAACAGTTGGTTAAGTGATGAAAATTTAGGTAGTCACTCATCATCGTAATTACTTACTTAGTCCTCATACAAGTACCCGTTTTTTGATACATTCACCTAACAGTTGCTCATATTCAGTGGCAGATGCATCCAGTGATCGTCGATTTTTTACGTATTCTATTTGACTGACTTGTGCATTGATTGTCTATAACGCCGACTAGTTTGTTTTGAATTTCAGTGATCTCCGGTAATTTGCATCAGCCGGATTCGATGCTTGGGCAGTTCCAGTACATACTCAAAAATGAAGGTTTTTTCGGCCTTTACCGCGGTTTAGCGCCTAATTTTCTGAAAGTTATACCGGCCGTTGGTATAAGTTATGTGGTTTATGAGAATGTCCGGAGACAATTGGGTGCATCAATGACATAAAAGCTACCATGAATTTTGGATATTTATATTGTTAAAATATTATTGTTATAATATTTTAATATTATTATGTTTATCGTAATGATCGCAATTAGTGCATGAACTGATTTTCATTTCTGATGCTTTTGGTGATCTCTCTTTGTTTGATGTTGTGATCATATAGTGGTTGGATTTTGTTCGTTACATTTTTGTGGTATTGTAATCGGGAAATGTTGAAATTTCGTTCGAAATTTTGGTAGAAAGAAAAGCGGAAGAAATGAATACCGGGCTATGAGATGGTTCATGCATGACATGTAATTTGGTCCTCCAGTTTCATCGTTTTATTCTCACATACATTTCGTGGAGTCGCTTCCCCCATTTCTGATAATTACAGTTTGTTTTGTTCCGAAAGAGACTCTTGCGGGGAGTTGAACACCCGATTGTGTCTACATTAAGAAGCAGTTTATTCCACTTACTGAGTGATCACCGAAACTTATTTATCAAATTGATCTGTTGTTCTTTTCTCCATGGAATCTTATTGGGGAAATACTTTATTTTAAAGTACCAAATGCGATGATTAGAGCACAATTGGCATCCCATCTATTTATATGTTGTTGTGTTATGAAAGACTGTTTGTTTTGTCTTTTTTTGGTTGTTTTCATTGAAATTTGATTAATTCAAGTTCATGTTTTCTTTGATGATAGCTTGATTCCCTGTTAAGAAAGATCGTGTTCATTTATTCGTTTTTCTTTTTCCAATTACAATTTGATTCGTAATCGTGAAAAAACTCACATGAGAATGAGTCAAATAATTATCACTAAGTAATCGAGTAGGGATATGAATTTCGAGTGATTGCAGCCGGTCATTTTCGTGCAGTCAAATGGTGTTGTTCATTTTGTGAATCTCATGAAAAGTATCCATGCACGAAACAATACTTTCGTTTCTTTCATGCTTTTTCTATCTGTTCTCTTTGTGTTGTTGGTTTTTTGTCAAATTAGTCATCACGGCAACATTTCATCGTGAATTCGCTTTTGATTTTGGTTGTCGTTACTTCACGTGAAATGGAATAGGGAATTTTGTAATAACTTTTGCTGTACAATTAAATGATTTCAAAGTGACAGTTGATCATCCTATCCATCTTCATGAAATGAATGTCGTGAAGTTTCACCTGTTTTGCAAGCGGTTCGAAGGAGATCAATGCAAAGAATCAATCAAAGTGGTTGAATGGAACCTCTCTTGTTCCGGATTGATTTTGATAATAATAGTGATAATCATTCAATGATTTAATAGTAACCGTGATTAGTTGATGGTGATACAGTGCTGATAATCAGTTTAGTGAATTTGACAGATGAATAACGAATGCAGTTGATCGGTTCTGTAAAATTGTGTTCTCAATGAAGATATTGATGCTCAATGCGTAATTGTTGATTTTAATGTCGCTTTTTCTCAAGCATACTTCATTTCGTATAATAACAGTAATAGTAATCGAACGTTGAAACATTAATAATTAAATGTTGATGCGAAATTTTGTGTTTATCCGTTGTTTGTTTTGTATGCGTTGTTTGTATGTATGCGTATAGAGGACGGGTGTCCCGTTTTGTTATTTTTCAGTGATGATTTTTATCAGAGGCGAGTAATAGCACGCTATTCGCTAATTAAAGAATAGCGTGCGGGATAGCTAGTGCGCTAGTAGCGCAATGGTTACTCGGCCATTTCGTTCGTTAGCGAATTGCACGGTATTACCCATCTTTGATTTTTACATTCTTGTGAAATGATTATATGCACATTTTTCAGATTTGAAATTGAATTTCATTTGATTTGTTTTTTTCAGAATTTCAAATTATTCTCTGCAGTTTTCCTCCTTCTGTTGGGACTTGCTTAGTTGCTGCCGAAATTCGGCTTACGATTCGTTAATTTGAAAATGTCGTGTTATTGCTAGAGTTGTTGCTGCTGCTTAAAATATTCATAGTGAATTTGTTGAATTGTTGAATAGTTTGTAAATATACATATATTTATATTTATAATGTGATTATGTTATAATATATATGTATATATATATATATATATATATAGTTGATTATTTCATCTTATAA